AAACCCACGCAGCGGAGGAAACGTGATCTCGACTGTGTAGGGATGAACAGAGGAAGAAGAGCAAGACGAAGGAATAAGAAAGGGGAACTTCCGGCGGATCGGAGCGGAAGAAGATCCGGTGCCCCCCTCCGAGTAAGCTAGCAGCACCAGCAGCAAAGGATCCCTTTTTCATTATCGTTTTCTGAGGACGCTTTGGTCTTGCGAAATACTGTACAGTGACATCTCGTTACAACGAGCTACCGCTCTAATTTCTACGATTTTTACAACTCGCTTATTGGAAACTGCCGGGACCAAGAAAAAATTCCATACAACGAAATTTCTTATAATAACGAGATTCGTTGTAATGGAATTCTGCTGTACTGTATTTGCAAAGAACCTAATTCGAAAATTCAAGCTGAAAAATAACACACAACCTATATAGTGCGATATTAGCCCGAGAAATTGAAGAAGTGCCTCACTAACAACTAAATTTTTGACACATTTTGTGATGATGGACCCTTCATACTTTAGAAAATAAATAAAGTATACATCCAAATGTAACCTCAAAGCCAAAAAATGTAGCTAACTTCTCAAAATGGTAAGGACTCAGCTTCGAAGAATAAAAAGGTCAGCGTTTTTTTCAGTGGTTCGGAAAAAAATATGAGCATCTAAATTATTTTCAGTTTGGAAAGCCCACATCATTCAGTCGAAAATAACTTTTGCAATGCCAGAAGCATATACGAAAACTTCGCTTCGGAATATTTTTTTACATTCAGAAGAATACTAAAGTCATGACCGAAACCTGTAGGTAAATAGATTTTTCTTTCGTCTACAGAAAATCTATCCTGCAAATGCATTATTCGCGAATATCGCGATGTTCAAGACCATTTCAAAGACCTGGATTTTCAGATAGAATCAGGAATTCAGAATGCGACGATGATAAAAAAGATGAAAGGTGACGATACTCCATTACCAAAAGATAAGTCTAAAAAAAGGCGACAGAAGGTGTATTAGAAGGTGTACGTGGTACTGAGGTCGTTGAAGCAACGAACACGAACTTCGAAATTGACCAAAATCAACGAAACTAAGCAAAACCGTCTTGCCGACCTTCGTTTCTCAGTCGTATAGTTGTAACGCAGAAAATTCCTATCAATTCCTGTACTCTGTACAATGGCCAAAAGCTGATTATTCAGAAAGAAATTCGACAATTTTTCTTCATCCTGCGAAAGGCTCTGTATATAGATAACTCTGTCTCATGCTCAAATTCAGACTTTTCGCCATAATAAGCTTCCCAGCTTCAGGTTAATAGATTAAACTGGAATTATATAGGATTAAATAGTTAACTCATTAATGATGCTACTCGGCGCGTTCCTCTTGCAACAGCTGATACAGATTTATAATTCAAGAGGTTACACCGATAAATCTCCATATAATTCCCATGCGAATTAAAGCTACTAACCAATGGGGGTCATCTCTGAAGCATATCACAGCCGATACTCGGTATAACCATCACACCGCAATCTCTCATATATACAATACTGTACCTTCCATTTCTGCGTGTGGGTAGGCACTTTCCGAATCCCGGACAGGCCCACCACGCAACGTTGTCCCATAAATGTGAGATATGGATGTAGAAAGAGCGGCTTTATCCCACGCCTGAGGGGGGGTTGCCTATAGAAAGGTAGTTTCACGACGACGACGGCGGCGAGAATTACGCTCGCAGGAGCAGGGCCTCCAGCGAAACCCCGGCCCTGGTTGAGTATCCCTGCAGCCCTGGCCAGAGACAGGCCCCAAGGAGCGGGATGGGGCATAGTATGATGAAGTTGCCTGTCTGCGTGTGTATACGAGAGGTCGTGCATGAAAGTTCCCCCCTGGATGGTCAACTGCCCTTTTTCTCTCTTTTAAATATTATTCCAATTACAAAAAATAAATTAATTATAAAACATTCAGAAAACATAAATAAACATATTACAGAAAAGTAAATTTTACTTCTTTATTCTCCAAAAATAATATTTTTAAATAAACTATTTTCTGAAATTATATACTATAATTATTGCTGTTCCAACAGGAATTAAAATTTTTAAAACACACTAAGGCATATTTTCGAAAGAAAATTGTCTGGCCTTATTTTTTTGAATACAGTTCATTGAAATTTCGATAGAATTCGGTCATCAAAAAAGGCGTGATCGACGTTGAAGGAAATATCTTGGGATTGTAAACTAACGTTCAAGTTTTGTCTTTTCAACGAAGCGCCGGCCGGGAGAAAACAGATTCAATATTTTCTACGGGAACACTTTTCCATTCATTCAAGTGATACAAAATTGTTTTTAAATGGAGAAGAGGAATCCGAGAAAAAACCCCAATTCTTTTAAAAAATGATCAAAAAATAAATGGAAGACCACATGCGGGAACATTTTTACAAAGCGCGAGCTTTTTTTGCGAAATAATCCGCCTTTGGAAAAGATAATTCATTTTGATCGAAATTTGACTAGATCTTTGAAAGTAAAGATGACGTATATTTCCTTGGAAAGCAGAACTTATTCTGCATCATATTCACATTGAAAAAAACAGGGAAAGCAGCAGCTATATAGAACCACAGAAACTCTGATACGACCCCTCGTATTGTTTCGACGGGGAGGAAGACGACGACGTCGAAACTGGCGTGGGAAAAGAGCTGCGCGCGTCGACCCGCGCCACCGACACCCACCACCAGCACAGCACCCAGCACCACCACCACCACCACCACCACCACCATCACCAGCCGACGCAACAACATGCCCCCTTTGAAGGAACCTCCTGTGCAAACTACTGTGCGCTTCGCCGGCAGTCGGGTCATCTGTTACTTCGTTGATGGTGTGGTTTTCCTTATTTTTTTCGGCGTATCGAATCAACAGTCACGTGTGTCATTGTTTATAGGGTAAAGGAGGAAAACGAAAACGTTCATACTTGTTTAAGGGCTTTTCAATGCAGGGTGTTTTTTTTTTTTTCTTGACTCAACTTATTACAGGACACGGCATGCGGAGTTATTTGCGTGCAAGCTCTTGCGTATTATTCGTGCCTTTAACTCAAATTAAGAGACGCGGTAGTTTGATATTCGCTTGAAAAGAATTCCCACTGAATTTATCATCAAAAAACTTAGTTAACATGCAGCAGATAGTGCTTTCACTGGGGTTTCTCAGCTCTGAGCTCTATCCTCATCAGTTTCAGGAACGTTTTCGTCTACACATCCATACCCCCTTTTTATTTGGAAAATTTCCAATATACTGTATTCCATCAAATTTGAACTTCAATCGAGTTTGCATTCCAAAGTTATTGTACATTAAAAATGAAACTTAACGGATGCTGCACGAGATGTTCCCTGGGGTGGAGGTGAAATTTGCGATGAGAATTGGTCACGTTGAAAGTTAAAACAGAGGGTGAGCGAAAGTGAAATGTTGGTGAAACTCGTGTGAAATGTGAGATTTAGTCGAAAATGTCTGTATTTTGGAAAAAGTCTGTGGATTTTGAAAGCTTGAGGAATGCATATAATCTGCTCCAAAACGAAGTTCATGAACTATATGCTAGGGTTAAGTTCAATAAATATGACACTAATTTAGCCATCTTCAACATTTGAGAAATGTTTTCAAAGATGAGTGTTTCTATTTGTGAACTGACATAAAAATGAACTAACAGAGCATGATGTCAGTTTTTGAGGTGAACGAAATTTAAAAGTGGCCATTCTTCATCATTATGTAATTTTCCCATAGTAGATAGGCATTTTTCTAATAATTGACATTCTTGAATTTGCGCAGTTTACTTTTGGGGTTTGCGTGGTGATCATTAAATAGGTCTATCTTATGGATATTGTGGAAGCATCTGATGTGAAACTCTCTGGTATTGAATTGAATTGAACAGCAAGCTTTATTTTCTGCTTTTCAGCATTCAAAAGTGTAAAGCAATTTTCCCACATTCAAACCCCCTCACCTCCCCACCCACATCCATCCAAACACAATCCATCTCATCAGAATGGAAAATTGAGAAATAAGCATCCCAAAATGTAAAATTGAATGAGTGATGCAAATATATGCACTTTCTTCCCTTCCCTGATAACAAAAACAAAATGTCAGTAAATACAAATTGCAACATCAGGCAATTACTGATCCAATTTAACTCTCTGGTATATATACAGGACTGCTGTTATTTGAAAATTTATCTTGCAATTATGACCATCTCATCCTCCAGTCAAAGTACAGCATATGTTGTTCTCGCAAATGTAAAAGAAAATGCATTCCACAATGTAAAAAACTCTTTGGAAACACTCCAGTTTCATCATGTGATACATATGGAACTAAATCACGGGAGGGTAGATTTAATCAGGAGAAATGAGAGGATTTACAGCTTTATTGGGTTTGTCTCTGATACACATTGCAAGTTTTGCTGTTTTTGTTGCGTTTCCATCTGTCCAGTTTGGCAGTCAGTATAGTCCTTCGTCCTTTTCTTGCTAATTTTCTGGATCTTTCTTTATGGTGGAGCTGAGGCTGGATAAAGATACAAGTTGTCTATGAAGTAAACTGCAATGCTAGTTTCCAATGCTTAATTACCAAGAGATAAAGAGAGAGAGAGTGCAATTTTAATGGGTGCACTCCCAGATGTTAGAGATGCTATGGGAATATAATTTTTTTAACATGCCAATTTTTCATTGGGTGCTGAACTTGCACATTCATTCAGCTTGCAGTCATTAATTAATTTTAGATGTGTACCATTAAGCTTTTCTTCAAAGGACGGTCAGCATCTAAAGTAGCCGAAGAATACAGCCCATGCTTTGAAACTTGTGTTTTATAACATGAGGACCTATAGGTTTGGCATTTCGCTTTATTCCATATTTTACTCGCGTCGGCTGCGATTACACAGTGCGCGATATCATACAGTGCAAAAGGGGACGGTCTCTTGACTCCTACACCGGTGTTCCCTGCATGAGCAGAAAAAAGCCCTTTCGTAATTGAGATAGCGTCATTATTTTTGGCAGTGATTGTTCAAGTGCTATGGCAGTGACAATGGCCGGATTTCGCCGCGTTTCGGGTTGGTGTCGCCCGTCTAACGGCTTTTAGTTTCACCTAGTTGGCCGTGGAAGTCGACGTTGCAGATGATGCTCACCGTGTCTGAACCTCGGTAGGCTCTCCGACAGGCAACCCGGAGGGCGATTTTCGAGGGGTACGTGTTTGCACATCCTTCGTGCCGATATTGGCAACTACTGCGTGTGATCAGCCTCCCGTCTGCCTCTCCCACTAGCTCTTCTTCTCTTTTCCATCCTCTGCTGAAAACGAGCTTGCCGGAAAAATAAAATGAAAAACAAGCCAAGAAAAATAAGGATCATTTATGTAGAAAGATGGAGTTTGCGTGTATATATTGACGTTAGATCTCATGCTCCGTCTGTAGTATAACTCGATCAGGGTTTTTCTCATCTTCTCGCAGATGCTCCCTCGCCTTTTCCTTCAAGTTTTCTTCTGAAAAAAAAAAATCACGAAAATTGCGGAAAACGCGGAACCATTTTATTTCCCAACATTTTTTGGGAGGTATAAGTCAAAAATATAATTGAGATGGAATCAAATCTACAGTGCCGAATAAAACCGGAAATAATCCATACATGAACGGGAATAGCGATGATTTTCTGGCGGAAAGCATATACTGTACAGTATTCAAAAAAATGTTTAATGCAATACAGAAAAATCAAATTAATATTCACGGAAAAAGAACCATAATGGAAAGTTCGATGCCTGAGAATAGCGTCAGTTTTTCAGGTCAACACAAATTGAAACTTGGCTATTCTTCATCAGCTACCCGGTTAAACCTCTTCATCTTCTTCGTGCTGGTTTTCATGAAAGTGTACATGGAAGATGTTATTTTCAATTTATTTTACAAACGCGCTTTTTTTTGGACAGGGTCGAGTCCGGTGCCAGATTACCTTTGGGGCAGCAAAATGCCGTCTGGAAACTTGCTGGCCTCGTCTGGAAGCTTTTCTGGCAAGCGATTGTCTCCGAATCGTTCCAGTGCTCTTCTTGGATGCGTGAGTCAGTTTATTACTAAATTACGAAGTTTCGAGAGGTAAATATGTGCACATGACATCATCAGCGACGTTCGTGACCATGAAAGTCGAACTACCAATTTTCCTTATTTGTCCTTGAAAGGCGGAAATACTCGTGCAGTACTTAGAACTTATTCTTGGTCAATTTTGAATTTTGAAAACCTACTCAGCTATAATGTAAATCCAGCCGCTCCGACAAAGAAAAAATTCAAGTTGCTTAATTCTAAAACTAAACTTAATTGTTTTCAAATGAACGGCATCTTTAATCGCAAAGAATATCAGGGAATCAATCAACCGAAACTCAAGCCGAGAATTATTCCAAATGAATCAAGGCATTTTGATTATTTGAGTTCATCATTTGACGTACAAAAATGGCTGGCTCAATAAAATTGATTCCTCTTTGACGGATGTTTAATGCTACGCCATTAACAGAAGCGTAAAAAATTATCGAGTTCTGCACGTACATTTAATGCGCAGTATTTTCAAGATATGCGGATATGATTTAAAAAACGTACACGTATATGTTGTCAGAACGCATTTGGAAAATACTGCGATAAATGTAAATAAGTCAGCAAGAAAGATTTAAAACTTCAAATTTTATCCGTGTAGATATTTCATTGCTGGTCATGGAATAAAAATTTATAGAACAATGGTACGTTTTGAGTAGTTAGATTTGTCTGGTTTACACCTGATCAGCTCACTACAAATTGTTAACCTTTCTATACTGTCCGAATCATACTCAAGAAAGTTGCAGCTGGAATATCTTAGTGAAAAAGCGGCGTTTTCCTCTATCTATCACTCGATTGTTAAAATAACATAGCTCGCTTTTCATTTCATGAGCATGCATCAGTTGTGCTTGATACGTCTCATAATATTAAAATTTACCAAAACATAGATAAATGTATTCTGATTAAACCACATGTATCATGAACTTTACAGATGCTAAGGAAATGAAGAGGATGAAATGCTTCATATACGCATACAGTCATTAGTTTTCTTGAGTGGGTAGATGATTCAAAACTTATTTTTTCATGACGCGTTGTAGAAAACGTTTGCCCAGGGAATGTGATGCGGTTTACCAGAAAAAATTGTTTAGAACGTAAATATAAAAATTTTATTTGGCAGAACTTGCTCGAATGGCGGACGATTACAGTATTCTTCAGTGACCTATTACACGAAACTCGAAAGTAATTGTGTAGTACTTCGAGAGTACAGCACTTTTTAAAAACTGATTCAGTGGTTCTGAACTGATTGTCTGAAGGACATTACTCCGCGTTGTGGCCCCTTAATCTTCTGTAACCCGTCTTAGAAACTTAGAGAAAAAGTTATAAATTGAATTCAAAGAAAAAGGAGCTTGAATGGAATCCCTCAATGATTTTTCTGTGCATATAGGCATAAGATGTAGAGTCCGCAAAAATTACTTATAATTATCATGACGGTAACTTCAACTCAAGATGAAGATGACTGAGAAAGAAAAAAATTCTTTGGGGATACTCTGTCGGGGGAATAGATTTCGAGTAGATCTTCTTGAGTCAGAAAGTCCTTATAGCTCCTTAGAATATGCTCTTTAAAATAACTGGATAACATTTGAGGGGATTTACACCGACAAAATTTCAAAATGATAATTTACGTAACTCATTGAGTTCTAGTTTTCTGAGACCTTATAAAAAAGCACTCCGAGAAGCGACCTCCTTTACTAAAGTTAGTCGCGAGGGACTCAGTCTTGAGTCCTGTCCTTCAGGCTTTAAGGGGTTTTATCTGACTCCAAAAATTAACTAGATCTCATTTCGGGGATGTCCACAGATATCGGTTAGGATTATCAGGATGATCAGTTAGGATTATCGGTTAATCGGTTCAATGCAGCCCAAGAAGAAAATTCCGTGGACAAAAACATTTTTCCCTTGGTACTTCGCCGCAAGAATGTCCCAGCACCACGTCCCAGTTGAAAGCGGCCTCTGATTTTTCTAGAGTTGATGTGATCGTAAGAAAAAATTAATAAACATTAAAAAATTGACATGGCACGTGATGTTCCATGGTACGGAAAAATTGTTTGCATATAAGCAAATTAAATTTACTGCATGACGATTTGAGAAAACTTTTAGATTTCTTCAACCCGGCCCTGGGCTTCCTGTGAAATGGGTGGAGAACTCTGGCTGTATAATTGGAAAGATTCCCCTTATCAAGGTGTAAATTCGAAAAAATTAATTCGAAAAATCCCCGAACCTTGGAACATTATGGGCTATGACACAATTTTTATTATTATTATTTTTTTAATAAGCACCCCTACTCTTGAAATATCAGGGGCCGCGTCCAACTGGGACAACCCGCTCAAATACTGTACTTGTATTGAAATTAGCCGCGGCTCCGTCGCGTGCCACACGTTTGAGTTTCAATAAAAAATAAATTATATTCCACGGAACACACGGAATTCGTGATTTGAACGTCTCTGACAAATATTTTTTTCTTTCAATTTTCAACATCGTACCACCTAACTGCGGTCACCCTCGTCGTCCGCGCCTTCGTCTTCTACTGTGTCTCGACTAGTCTCTGACGCCGAACGAAAGGTACCGGGACCCCTAGGGTTCCTCGAAGAGTCGGAGACATCTGGTCTCGGAGACGTCTGGGATGGGGAAAAGCCCGTCGATATCGACGTCTATTCTCTTCACCCCGAGCCGAGGTTCGAGACTGATCGATACCGAGTTCAGGAGCCCCCTGCGGCACGCCGCTTCCGAGGTCAGCTTTCCCAGCTGCTGTTCAGGAAAGGATTTTTTTTGTTGGTTAGGAGTACAGATGTTATTTTCAATTCAAGGCTATTGCATATATCCTTATCTTAGGTTTGAAACACCACCAACCTATCTTAAAAGACAGCCGCTTCCAAAACTAAACTTCTCACGCACTCCAAGAACTCTTGCTTGGGCCTGTGCTTGAAAGGACTTGCGCACATCAGATTCTGATGAAAAATTCAACTTTCCCGGAATTGCTGGAGGAAATACATTTTTTTTTTGTAAGAAGAAAAGGTCAAAGTACGGTTACGTTTCCTCCTAGTAAAATAAGATTACGGAGAAAGATCCTACGCTTTTCTTGTACTACATTTATAAATACCTTTTTTTTCGATTTTTTTACCAACATGCGAATTGTGCTCTGCTTTCGCGATCAATGACAGATGTTCCTGCACTTCGTACTAAAAAGAAAGAGTTTCCTAAAATTAGTTTCTGGAGTACCAAATATACAAGAACGTAAAGATGGTATAAAAACTTGAATGATTTTATCGAATATATTTTCCAAGTGTAAAAAGGTACGGTATTTTCAAGAATAAATCCCGTATGTATAAGATTAATTTCAAATGTTAACCGTTTTCGTACATTTATTCTGTCTCGCGATGAAATACCGCATAAATTTTTAGTTTTCTGATTGGAAATCCCCAGAAACTTCACGGAAAACTTTCATATATGAATGATTGAAAATGACACGTGTGGTGATCCAGAAAAGCCTGAATTCGGTAAGCTACTCATCACGATCTGAAAATAAGCTGAACAGATGAATTTACAACCTTATTTTGTGTCATTAGACCATGGCTAGACAAGCTTAAGACGAACAAAGGCGCTTTTTAGTTGTACTAGGTTTCAAACCATCCAAAACGATTTTTTTTGGCGACTTTTTTAACAACAAGAGTCCTGTTTAGTCAGGAAAAAGTGATAAAAACATTGTTAAAAAGCTGATTAAAAATTCCGGACTGTGCTCCTTATCACAATTTCGGATTAATTTTCAAAACAAGAACTTTCAGATGCGTTCCTCTTCGTCACCTAACATTTTCAATCGATTGAAGATTTCGGAAAACGTCGTCTTTCCCTTTTATACACGTCGTGAGATCCCAAGGATGTATATATAAGCACCATCTGCTCTTATAAAGCTTGAAGTCCTTCCTCGGAATTCGGAAATTATGGAGGTCCCTACTGCTTGCTGGCAGATAGAATGCAGTACTGTGACTTCATAAAGACAGATTCTATCTGCGCTTTTCCGAAATCCTGGACGTCAAGTATTCTGGAGCGAACAAATCGAGGATTCCTAAATTCCCCCTAGTAGTGCTTTCTTCAACGATTTATCGATTCCAATAGCTTCCCCTAACCCCCCAAAATTAGGTGACTGAAGTGTCAGGAAAGGTATGAAAAGCAGCTTTCCTATTCTTGGATTCACGATGAGCTTTTCATCATCTGATCATGTATACTCAGTTGGGCTCGAGAAGGACGGAACAATCATTTATCACACCTCACTATTATTCCACCTCACTTCGCTGCTGCGCCTTGGCTAAATGCATTGTTTGAAACGTCGAGCCATATACGAACAGCGATAAATCATTCGAGGGACTTTTGTTACCTTTTCGGGCATTCGAAAATCATTTGTTGCATCGTTGGCAGAAAGTTCCGCGAGTCTTCTTTTGCTTGAAGCGCAATTCATGTCGGAATATGTAAGAAGCGGAATTTAAAAGTTTTACTCACCCCATGTGAGGCTAATGTCGTAATTGGGACAGATGGTCATTAACACTTTAATGTGTTTGCACTTTACACGGTGTGATATGTGGCAAACAAGTCACTAGCGTCTTTCAGGAGTAATGTATTCAAATATTTTAAAAGTTTCTTTCGATTTTTAGCTGTTGAAACTTTAAGATGTAAGCGCATATCCCATTTCATCAATTTAATTATAGTAGCACAGATTCATTTTGCTATTCATTCATGATTTATGCTTTTTAAACTTCCTACTAACTAAACTGAAAAGAAGATTTGCAAGATGCTCAAATTAAAGGGAAACTCTTTTTTAGAACTTTACGCTAAGTCGAGCAAACATCCCGAATAAAATTTTATAAGTGCACGCTATTCCGAAAGCTATGAGTCGCCATTTGCGAATGATTAATGCATAAGCAAGGGGTTCCTCGTAAGTCCCGTAAATAACCAACAGCTTCAACCCATCCATGTTCATATGAAACGTGGCGGACAACTTTTTTAGATCTGTAAAAATTTTCATTCATCATATTCGTAGACCGATTATTCGAAAAAAATTGAATAAAGATTGAATACGTCTGAAGCCAACCCATGAAGATATATAGAGCATTTAATACAGATTGATCGAGAGCTCCTCACAAATAAGTTTTTTTTCGGATCTCATATTTTTTGGTCGAATGTATTTTGAGACTTCTCAAATAACTTTACATCGTTGTGTTTAAAATCTGCATAAATGCCTAATGCAGTAATTACACTTCAATAACTCCAAGGTAAAAAACAGCTAGGAGTTATTCGTTTAGTAAAAGGTAGGTTGAATAAAAACTTTAGTGAACCGTCGACAGCATTCTACGTTCCGAAACGCGGGACTTACTAAGAAGAAAAAAAAAATGAATGAACTTGAATGAAAGACCCCCCATGATGTCCCGTGAAATGGGCGCATGCGTCATTCCCCTCTGAAAATCCTCCAGGCGCACGAGATCGATTCTTGAATTCATTCGCTTTTAATGATCATCCGGGCGAAAAATGAATAAAAATTGGATCAGAAAAATGCAGAAAAAAGGTCTTACAATATTTTATATCTGAATGCATGAACAAAGCATTTTTAATTACTTTAGTAAGCATTTAATCCGAGAAACGACTGATGCTGAAGTAGTACTGTACATTACTTTTCGCTGGCCGGGTGTAAGCAAGATATATTGATCGGAAAACGGGAGAATCTTTCGTTTTCTTTAATAAATATGATCTTATTTGGCTTATTTGAAGGAGATTAAAGATTGAATGACTAGCGAAAACTGTTTCTGAGGTTTAAATTTTTGAGATGGAAGGTTGTTTCAAAAGATGATCATTCTTCGGATTTGTGTTGATAATTTTTTCAAAATAATAAATTCATCAAATTTTATCAATTTTATCTTTATCTGAAATTTCAGAAAGACAATGGGAGTTGAAATTATCTGGAAGGAAAAGTATGCTTTTATTCTCCCAATAACGCTTCATACAAATTTTCACCTGTTGAAATAAATTGTTTTCATTTTTCATTCTGAAAAACCTTGATAATTTTTTCAAGGAAATTCTACTAATAAGCTGCTTCATTGGTTCTTAACTTAATTTTTGAAAAGAGCAGCAAATTTTTAAATGCCTGCCATAAAATCTTTCAAACAAAACTTTTTCGGGTCTGAAAAATATTTATGTAAATTTTCTGGTCTGCAGAATTTTTTTTCCTAATTTGAACCAGGCGTTTTTTTCACATACCTTTAAACGGGTAGACACCCGGGTTTTTACGACGACCTCTTGTGACATAATCTGGTATAGATGGGAGTACGTCATCTTTGCATGTCATCTGCTTACATTAAAAAATATTTTTTATAGACCACTTCAAGCATGTGTATTTTTCTCACTATTTTTTATTCATTGACGTTTTTTGTGCATTGCAGTTGACACTGAAAGACGCCCCGAACTGGGGCTGGTGGTGGCGTGGGATGATGGACAACGCGTCCAGGTCGTGCTCGACCTGGGTGGCCGTTGGTGATGCCCCAGCGGGGTTCGGTGGGCCACAGGGCATCGACACTAGTTCCCAGCTGCCAAGTCCACAAACGACGCCGTCGACAGCGTCGTTCCTGGCGCCGGCTGACCTCGTGAAATCCGTCAACAAGAAACTTCGCGGGGACTACATTAGGCGGCGGATGGCGCAAAATTACAAGCTCATGACGGCCTTGGGTCTGAACAAAGCAGATCTCCAGCAGTCTCACCAGGTATAATCAATCAGGAAAATCATAACCTACGAATATTCAGCCTGCCGAAATTCAGACAGTCGTGAGGTGCAAGCGTGACACTTTTTTCCCTTTCTTACAATAAGGTCAAATAAAATTAAATTCAATTTAACCTAAAATTAACTTCATAGATTTGATATTTCTGGAAAGAATGCCGTATAAAACCGAGTGGAATTGTCTGACGGTGTTATTTTCATGATGTGAATCGAACCAAGAAAACATTTGGGCGCTTTATTACTTCATAAATACTTTTTTCATCCCAGTCAATATATAATGCATCGAAAAGTCTAATATTTTGAGAGTTTCCATCATCAGTTTTTCTTTCTGGTTCATATAAACCGAGACTTTTTTCACTTGAACTTGGGCTCTTCTACCCTTATATACATTGAGCCACCGAGCCAATAATCACAAGCATATATTCTCACAATAAATTATACCTCGCCATTTGGATTTTTTTCGTAAAACGGCATCAGAATGTTCGATGAAAACTTATCAAAGCTAAATAATTCAACTGCTGGTGTAAATCTGATGATTTCCCCTCAATTGACAGACAAGTTTCCAGGGAAGAGAATCCAAAAGATATTTTCTTCCTCTCGTGGATGAAATTGATGCTCTACAGCAGTGAGTTTGTAGTTTGACAAATGTCTCATTCGGGAAAAATTAATTGAGAATTCAAGTTCAGCGAAAAGTTAACCTGTATGCTTCAGGTAACAAAAATACTCTAGATTGCTTAATTCAGAACGGATTAAAATTTAAAATGCCGAGTGGCGAATAAAACAGACTTTTCTTTGAATATTCAACATTTAAGCGGAAGCCATACAAGGTCGCCTCCTCTCAAATCATGGAGGCCTCAAATTAACCTTCATTGATTGAACAAGTGAACAAATAACCATTTATCCCTAACCCGAATAAATGTATATGTACTAGCTAACGACTACAAACACCTGAATTGACTAGTACCGAATGTGGTTCACAAAACTAGTTGCAAGGCTGAAAAACCTGATTTTAAAAGAAGGAGCAAGTCTTCGACCAGTCCGATGCTTCGGAGTCACCACGCAAATGTCTGCTGACAGAAAAGAAGTAAATCCTCTGATAAGTGATTCAATCCGCTGAAAAAAAGTTGAAAATCATTATCTTCCCGCGTACTGCGAATCCTTTATAATTCTTCAAATATTTGCAGCAAATATTCAAGATCCTCAAGAAGACAGCGTCATCAAATCAAACGCCCGTTTTGCCAGCGACAGTGGGGTTGACGTCGCAAGGAGCATCGACTCCTGTAAACGTGCCGGCGTTTGCTGTCAATCTCAATTCCCCGGCCCAACTGCTGTCGGGACAACAAGTGCAGTCGACACCGTCGGCCCCGTCACCGACACCCAGGGCAAACTCGTCGGCCCCTGTCGGCAGTCGTCGCAGCCCTGCGGCGAATAGTCTGAGTGCCAGAGACATTGAACGGGATCACGGGAAACCCCTGTCGAAGTATGACCGGAACATGATGATCTTCACTTGGCTGCAAACCCTGCAAGAAACCCCGGTCACCTCTGCTTCTATGGCTTCTGTAACTGGACTTGATAACCAGTCTTGAGGAAAAAAAATAAGTTTAATATTGCATCGAACATACTGAGGAAAATTGCTCAGAGGTCTTGCTGATTTCGGTTTATGTAGTCCCATTTTCTTATCAAACGACGTCGTTATATCGAATTGTTTCCAACACTCAGAGGGACAGAATAAATTGAAGTCCGGAAACATTAAGACTAGACTTTTATCACAAATGCACTTCCAACAAGGAAACAAATATTTACCCCTTAAGAAATCTCAAGATTTATGTTTATTTTTCCTTTCATGTGTTGGAGGTTCTTATAGGATGCAGGTACCTTTTTCTGAATGAATCTCTTGGAATGTGTTCGGCCTTTCCCAATCCCTTTCTTACATGGAATAACATAGAAAGGTTATTTACCCCCTCTTTAAATCAATAATTATTAAATTATACTTCTACCGTTTCTAAGAACTCCTTTTCACTTATTTCATACCCTTAAAAATATATGTGTGAGCAAGTACCTTCTTCGAAGCCAAAGTAAATTTCTTTTTTGTTGAAAAGTTTGGATGTTTCACAAAATCTGTCTAAATCGATTCTTTTGTATTCGACATCGAATGACAACATTTTACTGTTTTTGATTTTCTGAAACGAAAATTTTTTAGCAGGATTCGGTTTGATGTCCATAATTGACGTCGACATAGCTTTTATTTCCGAGCAAGACGACTTCCGGGGAAAGAACGGGGAAATTCCAACGAACGCCGAAAAACGTTGTGCTTTCGTGCTTCGAACCATCGTGGAACAAAAAAACTATATTATTTACTACTTGAAAATGAAGTTACTGTCTCGAGGTGCTTCTTCGTGGAGAGACAAAATGTCATTCAAACCGCGTGATTTTGCTGGTTATATTCTCTTGCGTTGCGAACGAAACGAAAGAAGCCTTGGTTCCATGTGATTTTTTAAGCAAAAAAAAAGAGAAAAGGTTACGATGAGCTTTTCGCAGAAGATCTATGGCTAATATGAGCTCAAGTGCTTTATTCACGAGATCTTTTTCTCAATTCAGAGAGGCGAGGGGGTGAAAAAAGCCAGTCCCCGTTTTTCTTGTAGTTACCCAAACCCTGGAAAGCCTTCTGAAAAAATATGCGCGCAAGAGTCATCGAAGAACTTTTTTTTTAAATCGTTGTGAACAAATGTCCTTTTTGACGAGTTTGTTTCTTCGGTGTTTGCAGTTTCTTGGTGTTGAATGTCTCCGTGAAATTTTTGAAAAACCAACTTAGGGTTTTTGAAATTGTATTCCGAGTTATGTGAGTGTCCTTTACTCACAATCTAGAAAGAAAAGAAAAAAACCTGATGGACTTCCTACGTGAAAAGAAGCATGCATGGATATCCTCCGATGGATGCGACAACTGAAAACTCGTGCTCCTGATTCCCAATCATCCATTCTTTGAATCTAAAATGGAGCCTGTCTTTCGAGTGTCATTTTCGTTAGTTCCAAAAAGAATTATGTGACTGTTGCAAAAGCTTCAAATCGGATATCCAGCCGAAAGTGATACTTGAAGAACGTTGTGTTCGGCTTAAATAATGCGGACTTCATCCCCTGAAATGGAAAAAAAAACAGAGAGGTTGAAAATGTTCCTGTATATAATTAAATTTTAGTTCATTGTCTTTCTCTAAAAATAATTTCAACGTGCAAGCATTTTCTTAACTAACATTGCCGAAACAATGAAGTATTTATGACTAATGTTCACAACAAAATCTTCTGATTCTGATTTCCCAAGTATAGTGCTTCGATAAAACTGACTTCTGACATAATATTCCTATGAATAGTTGGAGGTGCTTCACTCGAAAAGAATATATTAAGAATACATTATTTTGAGTCATATTCAGGTTAATGTACAGTATTTTCAAATAAATGTGCGACTTCCACTGAGTTAAAATCTAAAACTTGACCGAATAAATCTAAAATCGACGAAATGCTTATGCATCTCGAATTATGTGATGCTCTGGATGACAAGTCTTTCGGTGCATTTGGATTTTTCTACGATTGAATGGATGCACTGGGGCAATGGAATATCTCTTTATAAACTAGAGCTTAAATATTTTCCCCCATCACCCAATTCCCCTATTTTGAATGGAAATCATTCTTCCAAGCTTTAAGCAGTACTGTACTTTTAATTTTCACCGAATCAGTTTGAAATGGGCGAATAACTGAAATGAAGGTTTCTTCATGAGCAACTTAAATTGATCTGTTCACATTTTAAAGATATATCCAATCAGTTTACATGTGGTAAATAACGGTCTTAGAGACCTTTCTTGAAGCAGTCTTTTGTTGGACTCGCCCGCTTTCGTCTCTCCCAATTAAAGCAGTTCGTTTCAAACGTAAGAGAGATCAATTTGATGCTTGTTAGAGTGTCGAAGTCATGCTGTGGGTTTACCTCTCAAGGAAACCTTAAAGAAGCATAAATAAATAAAGTTCCCCACCCCCCAAAAAAAGTGGCAGAGGAAGGAAAACAAGAACGCGTGACCGAAACCACAATATCCCGGTGCCAAAGGAAAAGCATGGGCCACGCAATCGTAACTCCGGAGTCGCGCAACGTATTTTCCGCTGGCAAATGAGAAAATATAAAAAACAATCGCGTGCTTCTCTTCCGTACGCACAATATAGTGGGAAAAACGCGCTAAACACACTCCGCGAATAGCGGACACATTGTCTCCCCAAAGAGTTTTCGGCGCTCTCACTCTTTTTTTTTGTAATAACGGCTATAATATATGACATATACTTTGAATTTAAACACGTTCTAGCTCAATTGATTTATTTTTTAGTTTTTGGCAGAGCACGAGAAAATGCACCTGAATTGTCTGAGTAGAATGGTAGAAAAGACGGGGAAAAATTAGCAATAAATTTGTAAAGGGGGAACTCCAATTAAGGCGTGTTCCACGTTTTTCGAATTATTTTACAGATATTCTAGCTCTTTTTTCTGTCACACAATCTGACGGGTGAAAATCGCGGCGGAAACATGAGTGAATCACATACTAAAAAAACTTTTCCACTGGTTCATTGGGCGGTTACTCGACGTAAGGTTTTCTTAGTTAATTTTACAATTTTTCAATCCTTCATAAGCCGCCCACATTTTTAGTCCCTTCTAAGATTAGTGCTTTATTTAAAATAGAAACTCGCATGCTCAATTGGTGAGTGGCTGGGATTCTTTTCAAATGAAAAAATAAACTACTTCGAGATTCCTCATCTGTATTATGTGGTAGATGCGATCACAGCCAGAATATTTTTTTCGAAAAGCCTCATCTTTTGAAATCCGTCATGAGGAAATTCACCACAAAATAATTAGTTACCCCGAAGATTTTTCAAATCCACTGAGCATCAACCATGACCTTGATCTAAATTTTGTAATTTTTCGGGATTTTTTGGCCGGCAGACCATCAAAAAGGTCATGCAATTCAAGTGCAGAAAATCCTCCTGATGCCGTTAAAAATAAATTTGCAAATTCATTAGTCAATCGTTCTTCGGTTAGAAAGGCTCGAATTTTCTTTATTGAAAATAAATGGTCTTGTTTCATCTGACATCCATCGAAATTTTGCAAGTGGGGTTTCGCAAAGCTTTCGAGAAACCCTTCGAATTGCGCGTGGTTCCCAGGTCGGCCTTCCTCGTCTCCCCGCACACCGATATTCTGCAATATGTCCTTCAGCAGAAATTAATTCCGCTGGAAGTTGTTACCAATTTGCTCAACGAAAATGAGGAAAAACAGAGGAGGCAGAGAAAACTGGCCAGGGAAACCACAACGATGACCTTCGAGAGCACAACGAAAAAAAAAAAAAAAAAGAAGAGAGAAGAGAAACCAGCCGCTGGGTGTGATCTCGTGTGTATGTGTTGTGTACGTATGTGTGAATGTGTCGATTATATTGCTTCGAGCTCGTTGTGTCGGTGAACGGAATTGAACTTGCATCGCATTATCGTCTGTGCTGTTGGTTTCCGCGCCGCTGTTGAATTATGCGCGAGGAATTTTGTGGGAACGAATGGCAACGACATGTTTTTTTGGAGCTTCAGTCCCTTCGGTGTCTTTCATTTTCTAACTCTCTCTCTCTGTCTATCTATTTTTGAAAGTATCTGTGGGTTTAATTCTTCCATTTTGGCGCGAGTTCAGACGAGGAACAGGTTGGACGAAAAAGGAAAGCCTTGCGGAAGCGCGTGGCTCAATCTTCTCTCCCACTTTTGGAAAAGCGACGTTGGGCGTTTAATGACAACCTTTCCTGGATCAGAAACGATGTTAAAATAGACTGGATCTATCTTTCTTCATAATAAACAGGGTTGACCAAAATAAAAAAAATTGCAGACGAATTTATTTTTGGATCCTATATATTCACCTCAGATCATAAATTGAATAAGAGAAAAATTGAGAAAATGTTCGGAAGTTTTTATTTACTGAAAGGTTTCGTGTACATTGATGAAACGATATAAATACTTTTCGTCATCAAGCAGCAGAGAGATATTTTCAGCATAGATGCTATCAAATCTGACGAACTATACGTTATGTTCATCAATTTTTCCCCATCTTTTTACAATCAGTTCCGGGTCCGAAATCGAATTTCAGTCCATCACTGCTCGATTTCCTTATTGTCAACGTCACGGGAAGATTCGTAAATGAAGGATGGAAAAAATTACGGAACGTACGCAATGTTGAGGGACAGTCATTTCTTCAATTTTAGTTTTCATCAAGAATTTATTTCTGTTTTTCTACCACATTTTCCCGTCGATTTTTCTTGGAAACTAGTCGATGGTGTTGGGAACGCGTCAATATGAACACTTCTTTACTATTGAGAATGTCGTGTAAGAATATTAGGAAACGTTTTTCGTAAGCTGCTGATGGAATTTTCCATGTTGATCGCTTTCTTTTACACTTACGCCATCATTGCTATGAGGAGAATGTGAAATTTCATTCGGGGTGACTAATTTTCCTGTCGAAGCAGAAATTTCAAGTTTTCCCTAATGCTCATTTCCCCCGAGTACTGCATCCTAATCGTGCGGATTTTTTCCCACAATTACGATGAAATTAAGCAGATGCCATTCCTTATGTGATATATTATTGCTACATTACATAGGATGTAATGATCTCATCATCTGATGGTTGACCGGTAATTTTAGATTAAGAAGTTAATGCTCGCGCATAATTACACGGAGTATGAATTCATTACCTCGATTCGCCGTTCATGTGAAATTTCCGTGACAAGGGTACTGAATTTAAAGCAGCGTCATAAAGTCGGTTCCCGTGCTTTGCATGAAACATGTTTCAATTCAAGTCTACAGCATGTTTCTCCAATATATGTCCATTAATTATTCATCGGAAACATATACAGTACCTTACAGTACTTTGATGCAAATCACTCATGTCCAAATCAAATATCCTACGGAGTACCAAAGAAAGGATGAAACGAGGAGTCAACCGAAGCGAGGATGAGGATCCAAAGGTCAAGGTATTCACGGATAATGCAAATCAAAGAAGAACATTGTTTCAGAAGCTCTTTTTCAAACGATTGACTGATTTATTGTTTCTCCTTCATTTTTTTTTTTTTTCAAGTAATGTTTCCTGAAAGGTCTCCCCACGTATTGCCTTTAATATTTTTTAATCCAGTTTCTCGCCAGCAGGGAACTTTAATGACAAATGTGACATTAAAAAAAAAATATTTTTGTCCTTAAATGTTATTGATGTGAGTGCGTTCATATGCAATATAAAAAGCGACTCTGAAACGTTTGATGTTATTTATAAGAGACTGAAGTATGGTTAAAGGAAGCAACTAAAAAGGAGGCAGGATAAGACACCATGGACTCAGGTTAAAAAGACCTTGTCATTGAGTTCCTGAAATTTATCCGGATTCTTCGTGACATTAAGCGATACTCTATATTCGTTTTTCTGAAAAGCCCTTTTTTCCCCCACCTGGAAAAAGACGAGACTTTGAAACGTGTGGAGGAAGGTGTGAAAGAAACACCAACAAAAAAGAAACGAGATTCGGTTTGGACACGAATCCGTCATCAAGACACGAAATCCGCGTTAGGAGAGCGTATGGAATGGGTTTATACTTGAAGCGATCCTCTCTATAGTGTATATAATGCGTTCAGACGTCAAGAGCATTTATGGTAGGCGGGTTTTTTCCTTTTGGGTGCGATCCCGCAGGATAGAAACACAGAGCGTAGGCGACAAAACGAATCAAAGAGCCCTGAACCCCCCCGCGCGCGCGCTCGTCTACTTTTTATTGGCGTCTCTCATCCATTCTTTATATATTACTTAGAGTATTTCCCAATCTCCCACCGGTTCCTCGAACGTCAATTATATATAGTATATTGTTTTTCCTGGGTTTATATATGTATGTATATCCGCACAACAAAAAAAGATAAATAAAATTCGCCTTCCGCGCTGCGACGACGAGTGGCGCTGGTTCGGCTTGGCCGGCCATGCAGGCGGGGATGGAGTCGAGCTTCTGCAGTTGTACATACAGTGCAGTACTCGGTTTCCATTGGCAAGGCTGGTTGGTGCTCGGCGTCTCGCTTTCGGCTCAGAGTGTCCAGGGCAGTGTGCGGGCAAACACATTTCCGAGTTTCTGCTGGTGCTTGTGCGCTTCACGCTTCCGTGATGATTGTTCTGTGCTGTGCTGAGCTGTGCTTTGTGCTGTTCTTGATCGTGATCGCCTCGAGGGGGGAGCGATGATGAGGAAGGTGGAAGATAGATTGAAATAAACTTGGACCGGAAAGCGAGAAAGAGGCAAAATATTGTGGCATGCTCGTTGCGACTTTCATTTGCATTTGTTCATTCATTATATTTCGTGTGTAACCGCGCGGAAAAATTGACTATACTCGTATATACTGAGGCACACTTAGAACACACACTACCGCGCTCTAACTGATGGAATGTTTCAGTTATTTATATATATATATATATACAGTAGGAACCCAAGATGTAGAAATTATTGGTGCACGGACTTTTTCCCTATGTCAGATAGTATGCGTGTTTGGTCACATTTTTCCATAGACTTCAATACAAAAATATTTAATTGGTTATCCTGTTTATCAAAAATTAGGAAGAAGTCCCCAAAAAAATTATAAAAAATTGTTTCCCTCAACTTCTTGATACAAAATACAACTGTGGAGAAGAAAACCTGATAGAATCTCATCTTTTCGCATCAGAAAGAGCTCAAAAAACAAAGAATAGGAATAAGTCTTGCTATACTGTGCACAGAGATACAGTATTACAAAAAAAAAGATAAAAAAGAAGCAAAAATCAGCCGGTTTTCAATGAAGAATTTGAGTAAATTTATAATGGGTTGATTTTTCAATTCTTTTAAATGAAAAACATCAATTTGTAGATACAGTATCAAAATGAAACACTTATTTTATTTTTTGAAACATTCTGGCAAAGTGTCCGTAGCTTGAGCCATTGTCTGAATATTTGAGCAGTTTTTTTTTTTCAAGTTTCAAGTGGCCCTCAAGTTAGATTGTCCATGTTTCTGGGTGTTCGCATGCCAAGGCCTCACTGCATATACAATATAAGTTTTAAAAAAGAGAAGAAGGAAGTCCATCTATGATGGAGGTAATTTTTAAAAAATTTGGTACTGTAAATGGATGGGAAAATTTTGAGAGAACGGCCAAAAATTGTTTCTTACATTATTGATCTTAGGGTTGGATGTATTGAATGTATCTGTTACTTGCAATTTTAACTGATAAAAGTGACTTTTCCTGAAACTTGATTCCAATTTTAACTTGCAATGTCCGCATGTTGGATCCAGCGTCTGCATGTTGGGCCTATTCTAATTGAAAAATAAGTGCCTGTATGTCAGATTGTCCGCATGTTGGGGTCTCACCATACTGTAAAAAAAATAGTCTGTTGGAAATTTTTGAATTTCCATAGCTTCCCCGTATGAAATGGAGAAACGGAGCATGAAAATTAAGCATTTTTTTCAGATTTCACCCTCTTTGAAATACAGCTGTGCTTGTGAATAAATGCTTACTTAAATTGCTTCACACTCAAATTTCAACAACGGTATCCCGATTCCCGTATTTCAAACCTATTTCAGATTTCGTGCACCACATAAACAAATGTACTGTACTTTGGTTTCAAATTTTCAATTACGTGGCAAGCTTCGTCGTTGTTAACCAAAGTAAAACTAGCCACTTGCTCACATTTTTCTTCTTAATCAAAAGGTTCTTGACCTACTCTTGTAATTTTGAAATTCACAGCACACTTTCTGAAAATCCAACTCATATACGTGTATACCATGAAAAGCATGGGTGGTAATGTGAACATGGCCATGTCTTGAAAATGGTGAGCTCTGGCTTTGTTGCAGATAATTTTGTCAAGATTTTCACGGTAAGTGAAGCAGTTTTTTTAATTCTCAAACTCACTCTTCACGGGGTTGAACATACAGCAGTTGTATAGATATTTCCGGGTTTAAAAATTTCGAAGCTATTTCTTCAACTTCGAGAACCGTCTCTTTATAATCTTGAAGATGGCATCGTCCGGAGATTCTTTCTATAAAAGAATGTTAAATCATCGAACTTATTTGGGGTGAAAAAAATCTCTTATGCTTGGTTTTTTTTGTTTTTGTAACGATTGAAGGCAATCCACTTCAGCCCTTACGTAACTTTTTTCATGTGCAGAAAGGAATATTATTCAAGCAAACCCAGCAATTTCAACTTGACTTTATTCATACGAAGAACCCCAGAACTTTTCTTATTCAGCAATTCGAAGTAAATTCCACAGCTTCGCTTTTAAATTCATGTTGCTTCTCTTTTTCTCTTCTCCAGTACCTGGATAGCTATAAAATTCAAAAAATATCTACCGATGATGAAGTACTTTCACTCTGATTAATAGTTCTTACAGAACAATGACCCTGTTCCCCAAACGAATACTGGTGCACCTCTTCAAATAACTGAAACCCGGGATGTATGGGGGTACTATGTTGCATTTTTTGTTACTGTCACGGTATCCCAAAACAGCTGGGAACGACTTCGGTCCGCTGAAAAAAAAAAAACCGGGCAGAATGATGAAATCCCGCAAGTTTTTATTACCCATCAACTTCCCGAAGCGTGGAAAGCCAAAGTGATTTACGGCGTGGACAGGAAATGACAAGATGAGGTTCACGCTACATTCTCTATTTTTTAAAATCTAAATAAATAAAAACAGAACCTCAACCAGAACGCGGATGTTGTTTTGTCAAGAGAACCCGGGATAGATGCACACCAGGTGTTTGTTGAATCAGGCCCCCGGAAATAGTTTCAAAACCATATTGGCCGTTTATAGTTTGATCCTTTCGTGCGATCATTCTGCGAATCGCCATAATTTTCCTGAATATTTTGAAAAAAAAAGAGTGAGAGTGAGATTTCAAATGAACAGTTGAAACTTCAGTGATCACCTGCGCGATTCAGAATAATATGCTCTTCTATCGGTTTTGTGTCCAACTCATATATATATAGCCAATGATGGCAATTAATTGCTTCCATTATATGTCCACTGCCAATAAACGTGGTCGTTTCATTGGACAATTGTGCTGTGGGTTGTGATTCGAAAAGCGTGAAAAAATGTCCAATAAAACCCATGACACCGAGGATGAGGAGGAGGAAAGCGGGTTCTTTGACTGCGTCGACGACAATTTGGAATACAGCCGGATTCAGTGAGCCAACAAATTTCATTTCTTTCGAAAAATGTTGCAAGTAAAGAAAAGTTTTACTCTATGAAGCCTCTCCGAAGTTTGATTTTATCGCCGGTAAATTAAATCAACTGCTTCCTTTGTACAGCATGTCATAAACCGTACTGACCTCGGAAACCGATCTGACCTGGAACTTGTCCCAATAAAATTTGTTCCAGCCTTTAACAGGTCATTTTCATTGAATGCTCGGGTTTTCTGCCTTGTAGCATTCTACGCATACCAGTTGGTGTTTCAAACTTGCAACATTTTCTGTTTTTCGAGCTTCGTCATATTAATGCTATCAAAAAAGACTCAATGCACACGTTTTTCTGATTTTCCCTCTGCAATGGTTTTCCGGATAATTAATCAAACTGTGCGGTATAAATTCAATTTGAGAATTTGAAGACTGATCGTTTCCTGCTAAACGTAAAAATTCCAGCCATTGATCGTCGCAAAAGGTTTGCGATTCTTTGAAAATTTCCAGACGCTTTCGAATCTGCTCAATTGAATTGTGCTTATAATAAGATTTGTGTTAAGTGTAAAAGGAAAACGCTGTGAAGCTTATAAATATATATATATAGCGATGGTTCGAGAATGGAAGGTTTTACTTTGAACGAAAGCTTATACTGTACACGTGTACAAGAAAAACTGAGGCTCAAGAAAAACGCGTCGAAACTCCCAAAAATGTTATCGTTGTTCCGTTCAATGAACTGGAAAATCCAGAGGAATAAAAAGATTGAGTTCGATATGCCGACAGTATTTGATTTTTTAAAAGAACAATGCTTAAATATAACTGGGGAAATGCGTGATTCGGTTCAAAACTTGGGGTAAACTTGTGCTTTTCTCATTGAAGTTTTTTTGTGGTTAGATATATGGGTCAATAATTTTGCACGTAGTCATGATTGATCATTTTCTGACAACAGTTACGAAACTATTAACCCAAGTGAAATTTGAATCAGACAGAGATGGTGCAATGTTTTTACGATTTACTGTACAGTGATGAAATAGAGTTTACCCGTCAAACATGACGATCCCCATGATATGAGTGTTGATACATATTTTTCAAACGAAGGAATCTTAGAAATAATCCTTTGAAGTCTTAAATCTGACAACCATATTTGAATTAAAAAGCCTTTCAAACTTTCGTTTGAGTGATTCTGAATCCTGAATGGAAAAATTGCCTTACGGTGTTACGGTTTCAATTGTTGAGCAAGTCAATGTTTCTGAAATCGGGTTTTCATTCGGAAAAAAAAAATCTCCAGCATAATTGAACAAAGGCTTTTCGGGGTTTGTTATCAATCCCACGATGGTTCCGAAGATTCTGACTTTTGAACTGATGGTTACCCAAAGAACTTTATTTTCTCTGGTGATTAAAAATGTTTAGAAAAAATATTGTTACCATTTTTGAAGTCGAAACTTTTGAAGCATCTCCTCGTAAACAATAAGAAGACAAATAAAATGGATGTGAGGAAGAAATCTACCTAACGTGGATTCGCTCACTATTCAAAAGCAGAAGCCAGCAACGCGAGCCGTTACAACGAGGTCAGCATCCGAAACCGTCGCTGTCGACGATCACGGAGCCCGATTGCGTCGTTCATGTCGAAAATCACGACGATGACAGTCTCGGTTGGGTAACCGGAGCAGAACCAAGCCTACTCGACAGCTCTAGCGACGTCGGTCCGACGAGCAGCAGGTAAGACATATTCGGCAATTATCGTCATCTCCCTCCACGTATTTATATGTTGTTGTTCTTCTCTATCTCTTCTCCCCAAAATCTAGCATCATGTTTTCCAAAATCTAGCTTTTTTTTTCAAAACTCCTTTTTATTTTTGTTGAAATTCTTTTTTTTTTTACTACGTTTCCGAGACATTCAGGGAGAAACTAATTCCGCATACTGAGTACGTGAACTTCCGAAGGTTGGATCAGAAATTGCCCAACTCCAGCAGTGCGCTCCATTTTTTGTTTTTTGAAAATAGGATTTAATGGACCGTCGTGTGCTGATGAATATTTCATCATTTCGTGACCACTGTTATCATTTTTTTTTTTACCAGATTGGAAATCGCGAGGAATTATGAATGTTTAATGTTCACTCCATCCTAGCTTGTGCGAAAAAGGGAAACGAAGTCTATCATGCCTGCCAATCTGGCACGTTTAATGAATTTTTAAGCAGTCAAATTTCGGGGGAAAAATCCGAATGATGGAAAGAGTACTTTAATTATTTCGCGTAGATCAGATATCCAGCATATGTTCCCACTGAAAAAAAAGGCTTTTTTCCCCGGATATTTTCATGCTCGTGATTCAAAAAGCCCGGGTTCTGATTGAATTCTAAACTGAGAGCGAAAAAATCGAGGAAAATGAACAGAGGCTTCCAGCATGTAGGGTCCGGTTACGATTCAACAGTGATTTTTGGGGTTCTGATTCGTACACTTGCGTACGTACCCAGACAACCACAATTACGAGGTATAATGACACAACTTTCGAACCATCCCTCGTAAAATACGAGGATTGTTCCAGGTAGTCATAGATAAATGTAACAGTTCCGGGCTCGTGTTCTTGCTATAAATTTTCCTTTCCTGTGGTGCAGCGTGACGGGATAACTTGCTCGTCGTACGATTTCCGGGGACGACTGCCCCTTCTCTACCACGTTCACTCACTCAGTGTTGGTTTCTAGAACTTTAATGGGCTTTAACTATTATTATAGAAACAGGTGTTCTTTGCGGTGGTTCTAAAGTAATACAGCAATTTAGAAAGGCGGTGTTTACATTTTCACGTGAGAACAAAGGATTCATTCGAGCTCAAGAACGAGTACAATTTCACGGGGATAAAAATTATTTCTGGAAATCATAGTGCGATTTTGCGTCACGCTTCACATGGACGCCGGACTTGTACTGAAAAAAATCGAAAGCGATTTGGCGATAGCACACTTGATAAAAAAATAGGCAACTTTTGGCAATTTGAGGTATAAATAGTTACTGTACTAATCTTCAGCGGTCGGGAAAATGGTTTTAACTGTATAAGTTTGAAGCGATATTTTGAAATGTGTGTTTGTAACTCAAGGTCATTTTGCTGCTCAAGTTTTTTGGATGAAAGCCAGTGTGAAATCGACAAAGCTAATTGATTGGCGAGCCGATTTTTATTCGCGAAGGATTTTCTCTCATTTCAACGCTCATTTGGACATCCCACCTTTTGTTCACCGATTGGAATTTTAGGTTAACTTATTCCCATTCAGCATCACCAAAATGAAAATAACATGAATATTTCGATATTGCTCATTGACATGAAAATTCGGAGCCTCGTAACAAATATTATTTTTCAATTATTTTAAATATGTCGAATACATGAAACATGCAAATATTGAAGTTGAACGTGCAGTATTTCCTTATATTGATGGAGTGGTTTTTCTATCCCCTGCCAACTTTTCAATTCGAGTGAGAAAACTCTCGATTGCGAGTTGGAAAATGGTCAACGATCAGTTAATGCAAAATTTTTCCATTTTTCTCCAAACCTAAACACAAACAGGAGCAGGAAGAGAGAATAAATACTAACGAAAACTATGAGCCAACTGTAGCATATGCTCAATGTTGAAACTTCTTCACAATATACTCTTTGACACAAATAATTTTTAAACGATAGGAAATCGCTCCGAATCTGCAAAAATTAGTTGCATCGATTATTTTTTGTCACGCTCTTTTCGAGATGCAGCAGTTGAAGGTTCGATGAAAATTTAATCAAGCTTTAATTTTTACAAAAAGCAACCACATTTTCCTCTTATCAAGATCCAAACTTTCGAAACCCTTTCCATGAATATATCATCAATAAAGGAGCAGGTACTGTACTTGGCCACACCGGAAACCCATGTCGTCACGCCCGGAAGTTCGCCTCTGCCACATTCCGAAGAGATGATGAGCACGTTAACGAAGAAACTTAATTCGTCACTCTCCAGTGAAATGACCTCCAAAGTGAACAACTTTCATTTTCTTTCATAAATTCAACGCCATTTATCGTTCGGGGTCAAAAACTGGGCGTATTCGAAATTATTGGAATAAAAGCCGCACCTTCCGAAAAGGGGACGGATACTTTTTTCTTCGCTTCTACGGAAACTCGAGATTGTCGGAAGATGTCTTAAATATTATATGTATATAGGGCGGCATATGATGTCAGGCGTGTTTCTCTACGCGTGGGTGAAACCAATGCATAATTTTCTAGGTCGTAAGCTATAATTCAGCAAGTCCCCATTCCACAAACGCCATATTTGAGTTGCAAGTACACAACGTCAAGATCTCATTTTTGAAAACTCATCTGGTTTGTTTCTAATACATCTGCACCTATTCCATGTTTTGGAGTGTATCACATTTTGAAAATACAGTATGTTATGAATGGAAATACTGTCCATATTCTTTGATCCTTTAATTTTAAAGCTCGTTCAAGTACCGTATTTTATCTTCGTTTATGAATAAGTTTGAGATCACTTTGCATCAATGTTTGGTTTACGATTTTTGAAAGCACACAGTCTTCATCTTTCCGCAAGATGCTCAGTAAATACTGTAGTACGATAAGGGATTTAAATAGCAGTTTTACTGGGTACGCACCCAGAAAAACTCAGCATGATATCATCATTCAATCAGCACAGATTGAATGATGATATCATGCTGATGACTATGGAGCCGTACTGTACCCAAGCAATGAAACTTTAGAAAAGAAAATATAGTACTACCATGCATTATTTTTAGAGTTTGGAACATTTCGACGAAACTTGCTGCGCTTGTCGTGTAATTTGCTGCCTGTGTTTTTAATAAACAGATTATGCAAAAATAAGTTTCAGATGACATTGTGTCATAAAATCTTTTATGCATCTAAAATCTTTTATGTTCACTTATATTTTATGCAGTCAGTAAAATTCTGTACCGTAAAGTCAGACTGAGGCCTGAAGTACTGCATTTACAGTTCTTGGAAAATAAAAAATAAATGCATTTTTCGAGGAAACTTTTACATTGTATCACATGAAGTTATGCCGGCAATTCAATCGAAAATTGCTGAAGTTTTTTTTAGAATGGCCTTTCTGGTATCTGAAAGAAAGGAAAAAGAGTGCAGCAGTACTGCACTTGTAGTTGGGATTTTTTTTTCGAGTTCACAATTCGAAATATTGGAGGATTTTTACCCGTTGAGCTGATACCAGTCATTATTTTTCTATAATACCCTGCATATTATACTGAAAATCCGTAATAAAATATTCCTGTGGGACGCGAATACTTTTCTGAAACTCCCATGCCGTGGAATTTCTTCAGGAATGCGGATCTCCTGTACCTGAATCATGGCGTCGACTGGGGTCGTGACGACGACACGTCAGAGTCGTCGACGACATCCGAGCGCGGGAGCAGTTTCACAGCTTCGTCCAGTTGCATCAGCAGCAGTCAATCGTTATTCCGAGTTTGTTTCCGGTCAACAACTTCCACATCCGGTCGGATCACTAAACACTTTTTGTTGGGAGTCGCTTTAAGCCGCAATTCCGTCATGTTCAGACACCCACGTTCAGATGATAAATTGACGCGGAAAACGACGGTTTTCGTACCGCAAATTGCGAGCAGTCCAGGGCCGCTGATCCTCGTCCGGCGAGGGCTGAAACCCATTGAAAATCGTGAGTTGTTCTCGTAATACTTTGAATGTCTCAACATCGCTCGATCGGCCTCAGGCGAATTTCACTCGGGTCGTTGTCTTCGCGAGCTTCTCAAGTGCGCAATAATATCTTTCTGCAGTATCCTCGCATTTTTTTTTCGACTTTTCCCCAGATTATTATTTTTAAATTAAAATCTGAGTGAATAGTGGACGTGAGGTATTTAACAATGTACGTTCTCCAACCTTTTTGGACCTGCTGTGGACTGGCAAATCGCCACAAAATTTCTCGCAGACTGGTAAATACGCAAGAAATTTTTCGCGGACCGGCAAAGTTTCATAAAATTTTTGCAGACTCAAGAAGTTCTTGTTTGAAAGACTATATATTGCAGGTATTTGACTTTTTCCTTTTTCGCTAAAATTAAGTCAAGAACCATAAAAGCAGCTACAGTGGAATGTCGACCAAAATCAGTAAGGTGGACTTGAAGAAATATTTCTCAGAATGAAAAATTAAGATAATCAATTTTAGCAGGTAAAACTTTCTCTGAAGTGTTAATCCTAGAAGAAAAGCTAATTTTTATTTTCATCATGTAATTTAAACTGCTATTGTCTTTCCAAAAATTTCAGACAAAAATAAAAGGCTTCAGTGCTGCTCTTCATGAATTTTTTATGCTGAAATTTTCCCGCGGACCGGTAAAAAACATCTGCGGACTAGCACCGGTCCGCGGACCCCCTGTTGGGGAACACTGTGTTAAACCACTTGGACTCTGCATCAACTGGGCTGGCTTCTGTTTGAAAAATGGAATGCAGACAGTATTCTGAAAATAAATAGAAACTTTCTTAATGAATATAAGCTCTCGTTCTTTCTGAGTACAGAAAAATGTGTGAAATTCAACCGATCCTAGCTCCATATAATCGATCCATCCGGTAAGAAACTGAATTAGTTTGGGGAGTGTTGGAACAAATTTGAAACTAACTTTAATTTGTAGCTCCATCCTGCTTGAGTGGAAGGACGCAACATTTCAATAAATTCTTGATCTTCACAGGAAATGTAATGAATGAAGCCCTCATACAGGAACTCGCGAAGAGTTTTCGAAATTCAGTCAAACCCAGACCCATAATCGTTGCATCCAGTAAGAAACTCATTAGCTTGCGGGGGTTTGAATCAAATTCAAAACTAAACTTCATTTGAAGTTCCATCCCGAAGAGAAGAAAGGCGCAAAATTTCGAGAAATTCTAGATATATTCCCAAAAATAGTATGGTATTAAGGTAGCCCACGGGGAATCATCGTGAAGGCAACTGTCAGTAAAATTCCTCAATGCCTACCGAGGGTATTGTGCGGATTTGTTAATCACATGAGATAGACATTTCATTTAACCATTTTTTAAAATTGTTCCTCGTAATCCTGTTAGATATTTCTGGGAAATCTCTGGTGATGGAGCGATCATCGTTGCGATCGAGGAAAAAAAGCAAGCGTCGCAACCGTCGTGGACGCAATTTCGACGCCAGTTTTGACGCGGCCGTGTTGAAATTGCGTGCGAAAGTTGCGGAGCAAAAAGTTCGAGTTCAGGAGTACGAAACTACGTTGGCCATTGAAAAACAAACCCGAAATGATTTACAACATCGTCTTGAAGTTGTCAACGAACATTTACACAGCAAAGTCGCGGATAGCAAGAAGCTTCGGTGGATGATCACTTCCATGGAATCCTCTCGAGAATCAGAGGTGAGAGAAAACCCGAAGGCTCTGCTTCGATCAATTCTGCATATTACGCTGGTAAAAAAAAACTTATATAATTTTTGAGCTGCGCAGATAATGCTAATTTTGTGAAAGTTATATATATCCTGGTAATGCATATTGTTGACAGCAGCTACGTTTTTCTGTCTGTATCGTGTGGACGGAAATAGAGGAACATGGGTTTATGCTTGAAAAATGTTGGAGTTAAAAAGCCAGAACACCGGATCAGTTGGATTCCAGAATTCAAATACGAATTTTTCCCTCTCGCCTGTGCACTTGAGCAACGATTCATCTTCCACACTACAGTATATTAAAAGTCCAATTTATTTCGCCAATGGAATGTAAATGCTCACCTGGCATTCTGACAGCAAATTTTGAACGGCCTGGAATTCCCTCGAAAAGGCGTTCTACCAAAAGTTTTCCTGCCGAAATTTCCGGGTCAATTTTGCATCAACATAAAAAAGTTACACTTCGCATTAAATGAGAAATATTCGATTAAAAATCGATGAATACCTTTGAAATCACGCCTGCTCTCGTAAGTGAATAAATTGCTCAACGTACAGTACTTGTAAATACAGCATTCAAGGATACATTTTTCGCGAGATGAATCCAGCAGAAAAATATGGCTCTGTATCTCTCATCGTACCCAGAAAGCAGTGTCAAATAATTCTCAGTACTTTATAGTGCATGTACACGTAAGTCAGATTAATTTGACAAAATGCTTCCGTCTTTTTTCAGAAAAAAATTAAAGTAAATCTATGTATGAGAATTCAATCGTTTGAGAGCCGAAGTATTCGATCCTTTCTCCCTCTCCGGGACGAAACGTTGTCCTTTTTTATTTATGGTTCCCAATAACCCCTAAACAATAATAATGAAAGCATGCGCTAAAAGCACCCTATTCTTGTTCGAAGGTTCTATAGAGAATAAATTATAAATGGTACGCATATGGTTTACGCAAATAACTTGACTATATGATTCCGTTTTCCGAACATTGGATATTAGAACTACTCTCGCGCGGTCCAAATTAGTTCGGATATAATTGAATTTCCGAGTACACTACTTCTTCAAAAAGATATTCCACAAATAAGTACTGCACAATGATCTTGAAGCTGAATCAGAGCATCATAAAGTGTGAGATGCACGCAACTCGTCGCATTCAACTGGAATTCCGCGTTGAAAAAATGTCATATCTAGTTCGCCATGCTGAGAGCATCGCTGAGAGACGCACGCATCAAACTCATCAGCAAGACCAGCGAAAATGACGCGCTGAAAGACGAGCTGCAGTCCTTCTCAGACGATTACGAGTCAATGCGTTCGCAATCAGAACTTCGCGAGGCGAAACTTGAAAGGACCATCGAGCGACTGGAGCAGAAACTGGAGCAACAGCCGACATCAGTACAGATAAATCGTTTGTGTACAGAAGCGAAATCCACGCAAACCGGAGAAGACGACTTCGTGGCACTTCTGGACGACTTCATCCATGACTCGAATCCGCAGGACTTTCTAGACTTTGTTCGCCTCGTCGGAAGTTTCCAGGTAAGGTGATTTCATTTTGGTCCCAACAAAAAAAAAATATTCTAGCCACCGTGACTGCCCAATTGAGCGCCAGGTACAAATGAGTGCCATCCAAGATCCAACTGAGCGCCAAGAAAAGCAGAGCGCGTCTACGAAAATATGTATATATGTACAATAGTTTCTTTCGAAATCTGTAAATGGCCAGATATAACTCGTTCAGCTTTCTCAATTATTCAATATTCACGAGGTATTAGCAGCAGAAATTAATTCAAATTCGTTTGCAACAGAAAGCATCGTTTAAAAATGATTTCCAATTTAATTAAGCTGAGCGAGTATTCACTTTTTGCGATTCATGGACCCACTTAGCAATTAATAATTTTTCCATGCAAAATTGCAGCGGTGTACAAAATGGGACTGAAAATGTTCGACTGCATGAATGACAGCCTTCATGGATTCTTAATGCATGAAAAGCGCAAATTTTCATCTTCACTGTAATTTTCACTTTCTTGCGATGGTTTTCTCCTCTTTTAATCGCCGTTCTTCTATACTTTTCCTTGCTTCCCATAATTTTCCCATGTAAAAAAAATCGCTCTAGTAATTTCTCATTAGAAAAGGGCATGCAACCAAAACCTGCTGAAGTTTGCCGAGTTCGAAACGAGGTCAGAATATATGATTCATATGAAACACGCTTACACAGGTCTGCCTTAATTCTATATTCTTGTCATTCATTTCCTCTCGATCTCGTTTCTTGGAACCATGTCGTCGAGAACATTCGACAGATGGCTCACATTTCTCCGTTTCATTTTCTCATCAATTCTCGAGTTTGTTTCCACCACTTTCCGGATTTGCACGCGAAGAATCCCGTGCATGCTCGGAATTTCGTATCGTCTCGCTGCGTGTCAAACGCTGGTTCTGCGTTCTTTTCTGCGACAGGACGATGCTGAGGGGCCCCGGGATTTTGCAGATTTAGAATCCAGGTTGAGAGAGTTGGCGGACTTGATCAAGGGGGCTGAGCAACGGCTGGAGAACCCGAAAAGTTCGAGTAATCAAATCCATAAAATGGGGATGAGTCATCACAGTCACCATAATCATCATCATCAGCGAAAAGGCGTCGTTCCTGATCGGCGTTCGCAATCGGTGGTTAGACAAGATATTGCGGAGAACAAGTGCAAAGAATCTGAAATAGACAGATTGAGGAAGCAGTTGAAACAAACTGAGGACGAAGGATCCGTTTTGGCGAGTCAGCTGAAGAAAACGAAGGACGAATTAACTCGAGAGGTACGAATTCAGGCAATTGTTCCCCCGAAGATTTCAGAGGAAACGCGCCTCTCTAGCGACATCTATGTGACAAACGTGGAACTAATCGTTACAGCGAGTTCGGTTTATTTTTGTTTAAAATTGAGGATATTTTTATTTGCATTGTAGGAGATTTATGATTTTTTAGAATATTAGGTGCAGAAATGTCGAAAGTAAATCTTTAACTTACTGATATTCCCATTGCTCAGAACTTGGGTCCTCAGAATTGTGAACAATTACAAGTGTCGCCTAAATTTACCTCCTCGCCCAGAGAAGTTGAAAGTTCTGCATTTAAAAATTATTTTCCATGCCTAAAATTCCAGAGGATAAAGGTTAGCAAGTTACAAAGTGAGTTGTCCACGAAGAAGAAAGCCTACTCTGACGCAATGTCGAAATTGCGGAAAGAAAACGTCCGCGTCAACGAGAAGTTGGACACGTTATTGAAGGAGAACCTGGATCTTCGAGCCAAGCTGAAGCGTTTTCCAGCGGACAGTAACCATAACAAAGGAGACACCGACTTGCGGAGGGACAAATCCTCCGTACTGATAACTAACGCATCACTGATCAACAAATGCAGTAGTAACAAGTGCTGGTCCAAAAATTACGACGCTGTCCATTCAACGATCGCCAATGCCCCGAAAAACACGATTCCGGCTGCGAGTGTTCATATTACTCCGGCACCGAAGCTAGAAGACTTTTCTGGACTTCTGGATCCTGGAAAATCTTTCAATAATAATCCCAATTTTGTAAGCAAGGTAAGAACTCGGAAATCAAGCACGTTCAGACCTTATCTATTTCTCAGTAACCATGAAAATATGCTTGGAATTTTCGAGTCATTATTCTTGAACACTTACGTACAACTGCTAAATAGTGTGCAATTCGTGATCTCAGGTAATCAACTGCCTAAATGTATGCAAGCTAGTGGACTCACTCCACAGCGAAATCCAAGGGACTTGAAAAAATTACTTAGAGAGAATTTAGGGGTATAGCATAGGTCGTATAGGGAACCCTATATGGCAAAAAACAAATTTTTTATTCACAGATAATTTAAGACAGTTCGCCTGTTCTTTAAAGTTTGCGTGTTTCCTCTTGAATAATTTAAATAATGCTCATTTTGCTTTGTATATTTCTTTGTCAAACTCAATTATGTGAAACGTGCATGGCGACTATTGAGCAGTAACATGATAATGTTTGTAATGTCTCACAATTTTTTGTATTCGTCTACAAAGCATTCCTGTTGTTTTCTCGAAGAATTTTTGAAAAAATAAGTACCACAACAAATCAAACAATGTCTAAAACTGCGATCCTTCATATGAACCGTGAAAGAAAATTCACTTTCTTCCATTGCTCGTTGCAGAAGCTTATTTTAAAGTCCATAATTTCTAATTGACGCAACAATAAATGAATATAGCAATAATGAATATTGAAAAATATGTTAAATTAATTAATTTGAAATATCCTCACATATTTCGAAGGGCACAAACCTATAGAATCAAGTCAATTAAACTAAAATACATGCGCGAAAGTGAGAGGAAAAATAAGGATCCCTTTATTGTTACACAGTGTATGATTCAAAATGCGTGCGATGATTTTTTTTCTGTCATGAATTAGTGTCGGGTGATGGGAACTAATCCATGATTTTTCTCCCAGTTTGGTTTTTTATAAGCGCATCATCATTCGAGGGATTGAATTTTTTTCGTTTTCGAACCTGATCTTATTCGATAAAGATTCCGCGGCTTTCCACTGGACTATTACGACGCTGTCCATTCAACGATCGCCAATGCCCCGAAAAACACGATTCCGGCTGCGAGTGTTCATATTACTCCGGCACCGAAGCTAGAAGACTTTTCTGGACTTCTGGATCCTGGAAAATCTTTCAACAATAATCCCAATTTTGTAAGCAAGGTAAGAACTCGGATATCAAGCATGTTTACACCACTATTTCTCCGTATTCACGTATACTGTATATGCTTGGAACTTTTTTGAGTTATTATTCTTGAAAACTTACCTACAATTGCTAAATAAAGCAGCGTGTAATTCGTGATCTCTGGTGCCGTCAACTGCTGCTCTTGAATGTACTCGTATGCTAGTGGACTCACTCCACAACGAAATCCAAGGGACTTGTAAAAATTACTTAAAGAGAGAATTTAGTGGGAGACAATGTCTATAGCATAGTTAGGGAATCCTACATGGCACCAAACAATTTTTGTATACAGAGAAAATCGTTGTAGACAGTTCGCCTGTTCTTTAAATTTTGCGTGTTTCCTCTTTAATAATTTAAATAATGCTCCTTTTGCTTTGTATATTTCTATGTCAAACTCAATTATGTGAAACGTGCATGGCAACTTTTGAGCAGTGATATGATTACAAAATGTCTTACAATTTTTTGTATTCGTCTATACAAAGCATTCCTATTGTTTTCTCGAAGAATTTTAAAAAAATAAGTACCACAACAAATCAAAGAATATCTAAGACTTCGATCCTTCATATATGAACCGTGAAAGAAAATTCACTTTTTTCCATTGCTCGTTGCAGAAGCTTATATTAAAGTCCATAATTTCTAATTGACGCAACTCATCTTTCTGAGTAAAAATGCTGGTGCATTACGCTATTACGTACTGACCAATTTATAAATGCTTTAATTAACGCTTCTTCTACTAAAACATAAAGCAAAAAATTGACTCTCGAAATATATGGTGAAATCCATTTATCCATGCTCGTATTCCGGAGCTTTGCCCGAATAATTAAATGTCACGGACTATATGAAAGAAATTATTAAAAACGTGAATATAGCAATAAATGAAAAAATAGGTGAAATTAACTATTTTAAAATATCCTCACATATTTCAAAGGGCATGCAGAAACCTAAAGAATCAAGTCAATGAAACTAAAATACATGCGTGAAAGTGAGAGGAAAATACGAATCACTTTATTGTTACACAATATACGATTCAAAATGCGCGCGATGATCTTTTTTCTGTCATGAATTAGTGTGGGGTGATGGATTGATTAGGTACTAAAAAGAGGGTCAAACCAAAAAATATTCGCGTAGTAGTAAGCTCCCTAACTTAAAAAAAGCAAAAGCTTGGACTAGAATAAGCTATTTCTAAGGCGCCGAAAGGTGACCTGATACGCTCAAGTCTCCTGAAACTTCCCCGGAGAGGAAGCTGAGCCAAACCCTTCTTCATCCCCATTTCACGTGTCATCACGAACAAGGCACTGAAACTCGGTCCAAAGCCCTGAAATGCTCCAACACTGTTCGTCAAAGGCTACTTCTACCTCCGGATGAAACCTGCAACAATTCTGCGACGAAAGCTTCGCGGAAAAAGTCACGCGCGTCGAAGCTCGACCCGAAACCGCGAGCCTCATCAGCATCCTGCTCAACTTCCTCGTCTCCCACCAGGCTTTTCATGACAGGTCCCAGAAGCAGCAGTGTCATCGGCTTCTCGCTTTGCCAGCCCGGAGATGATGGCGACAATAATAAAAGAATGGATGTCGGCAGTCGGGGTGAAGGCAATGCTGCTGCTGCTGCTGATGGGGATAACGACGACATTCAGCCCCCGGGGAAGTTCAGAGCGACGCGATTTGTGGGAGACGATGGGATCCTGGTGGCTTGGGAACCCCCGAGCGACGACAGAATCGCGGGATATCTGGTATGGGATTGCGGTTTTCTTTTGTGTATATTTCTGGGCGGGCATTGTTCCCCAATAATAAACGAAATTCGTGACTATATAGACAAAACAAAAACAAGTCGGATTTTGGGAAGAATTACATGCTACTCCTATTGAATGACTTTCGACTTTCGAGATTTTGGGAACAATTACATGCAACTCCTATTGAATGACATTCGACTTTCGAGATTCCATTTTGATCAAGGCGTCAGATTTGAATACATTTTATAGCATTTATTGTGAAATTATCCGCTGCTGCCCTCGTTCATTGCTGAATCGGGACAATCAATTTTGCCATTTCGATGGAGGGTTTTTTTTTTCTTATACGCGATGTATTATATGTGAAATCCACTCTTTTTCTGCCAGAAAAACAGACAAAAATAACCCCTCTTTCGCGTTTTTTTCCCAGCATAAACCACTTATAGACGCAATAATGGATTAAATGTGGAATCCAAACTTTTTCCGCAAAAATAAAGGTTAAGCCTTTTTTTCCAATCCTTTTTCAGTATAATCCCCTTGGACGCAATGTATAAAATGTGTAATTTACATTTTCTGTAAAAAAAAAAATAAGGATGAAAACCGGGTTTCTACGTCTTTTTTTATTATGCCCCCCTTATTAGACGCAATGTATGTGATGTACAATCCACACTTTTTCTGCAAAAATAAACATTGAAACCAGTTTTCCATCTCTCTTTAAGCATTACCCCCTAATAAGCAATGTTTTAAATGTGCAATCCTAACTTATTCTGTAAAAATAAACCCCGTTTTCCACGTATTTTTCAGAATAGTCCCCTTGATGGACTGGCTAATTTCATTCACCGGTTTATCGCCGATCAGCTGCTGTTGGCATCCGTAAAAGGATATTTTAAAAATATCCTATTATTTTGGTACTCTTCAATGCTGCATGACGATAAGTGATAGTGATGATACTTGAGAAAAACGACCTCACGTAATCTGACCTGAATCAGCAGCCAATCACATGTCCTGAAATGAAAGCGAATGTAACTTTAACCCACCTTATCTACTGTGAACTAAATCTCCTGATCCCGTAAATAAGCTTCATTTTTCTTCCATCAAATCAGCAGATTTTCCTTTTCCTCTCTATGCCTTTGGTGATTTGGTCTCACTCAATTATCAGGTTCATGGACATTTTTAAGCTCTTTTCTTTGGATCGTGTTATTTTAGTGCGGAAAAAGTTTTCTCCTTTGAAATTGACAGGGTATTGGGAGGGTATTAGTTTCTAATTTTGTCACAGATTTTAGCAATCCTTATGTATCTCTAAATATTCGATTACTTTTTTCTTGCAGTTCACTGACTATGTGCCATTGCATAAGCTGCAAATAAGAACAGTGTATGTGTGCAAAGAACTTTCATTAATTTTTCTCATTTTTCGTAAAGCCCAAGATTTACGAATCCTTGATTTTTTTATTTATTTTAGATATACGTCGACGGAGAATTCAATTCCAAAGTGAGAAGCCCACAAAGAACCAAGGCTTTGATAAACGGAATTCGCAACACTAATTCAGGCTACGACTCGAATTCAAGAACTCGAAATAGCCCAGAATCCGGCGTCGTGATCGACATTCGGTCAACGACACACGATGGACAGCTTTCTCCACCTACCGCGTGTCGAATAGTGTGGCCAACATCGTCAGCGACAGCTTCAAATGATTTGGCGGCGACGACAACAACACTCGAAACGAATGCTGACGATTCATTCCACAAACCGTCGACGTCGTATCCGAGCGTGTTCTCATCAACTGCTGATTGTGTCGCCTAACTGCTTCGAATTTCACAGTCTTCTTTCGTCTATATCTCAAAAAGCTTTAATTCACTTTTGTTTTTCATTTTAAAAAAATGTTTGCGCTTGCGTGTAATATCTTTTGAGTATCGGCGTGGATCTGCCTTCGGACTTGTGAAAAATAAAATGGTCTATATAGTTTGACACATAAGTTCTTATTTATTCTTATTGAGAAAACCCCTCATGAGTTTTGACCTTCGCTGCGCAGTTCTTTGATAATGTCACTGCTGTAATTGAAGATATAATTCCGGGTAAACTCAAGTAAAACTTACACAAGGTTTTACTCGTCTTACCCTCCACAATCAGCTTCGTTTACTCATTACTTATATTACGACGTTTTACTTAGGTTGAATTAAGAGTTTCTTTTTAGATATTCCATGATGGATATCCTAGATGACATCATTTTAAAAGCATATTCGGAGATCCCGAAGCCCACTCGACATTATTTGTCGAAAGTAATACGAAGTGGCATGGGATTTGAAGATGATGAAGAGCCTGTGGTTTACGTTCACATTCACGGTAACTTGACGAAAGTTTTGAAGGCACTGCGATCGGACATCACGATTTTGTCAATTGAACTGATGCACCCGAATCCGAAGCGGTTTGTTAAAGTAAGTTAAAACATTTATAGACTTGAAATTTCAGGGAATAAGACTTCTGTAATGCCAACAGATGTTCGAGATGATCGTAGAGACTTGTCCACTTCTGGCTGTTCTCAAGTTTGGGTACAATGCGTCCAAACCGATGAAACTCGATATAAGGAATGAAAAAAAGTTTTGCTTGTTGGTGACGAAGTTGATCTCGCAGTGTCCGAAGTTGGAGCATCTCGACATGCGTGACATCGTCAGTCAATTCTTTTATATTTATTTATATGAACCTAAATTTACTATGATACAGTGGAATCTAAATTATTACCAGACTTATAGAGAAGATATCCGTTAGTTTTTGGAAAACAATTTAATTCCGCGTACAATGTATTAGATTTAGAGCCTAGTTAAAGAACATTAAAGTTACCTTCCAGACAACGTAGGCTATTTCAAGAATTTTTTTTCCGGATCTGAGTCTTGGCGACATCTGTAGGAAAATAAGCGATACATTCCCGTTTCTTTGCTGTCCGTGGGCTAGATGTAAAACCCAGGTTTTTGACCCTTCATGGGTCCTTTAAGGACGCGTAAGCTGCTGGCGAATAAGTATTCATTATTTCTCGACTAAAAATAAAAAATACACTCATAGATATAGAGGTTAACCACGAATGACTTAAACTCGTGACTTATACAGCGGTTAACATACCCAGTATGTACCCAGAAAGCACAGTAAGTTAATGATCAACGAAGAATTCTCGAAATAACTGTACTGTAATTTGTGTAAAAATAATAAAGTATAATGCGAAGTCCCATCGGTGACTCATCACTTGGCAGTTAGCACTGATGTCTTTAGGTTCAGTGCCAGGATGAAAAGTAAGACCCATGTTCTTCCAAAGGACGTTTCATGTGCATATGCGGCTGTTATAATTCTCTGATGCTAAAAAAAGCACACACACATAATTCATAATTGATTAAATAACAGACAATTCTTCTTGGTGCTCAAAAATTGGTTTCCTGACCTGAAACGAATACAGGTAGTATTACTTTATTTCGCACGTGAATATGATTTTTACGTTATATTCCAGGTGATGACCCGACCGATGTACAACGTTCTTTGCGACTTGTACTTGGTCTGAATATCTCTTCTATAGGCAATCAAAAACCTTTTGTTAAATTAAGGCGCATGTTACATAATCTAAATCTCGGATCAATTTCTTGTAATTTCAATGGAAGGTCTGTTGCATCCGATAAAGTTTAATTTTTTTTTCGGAGCCGAGTTACTGACGTTTTGGCGACATCTGTAGGAAAATAAGCGATATATTCCAGTTTCTTTGCTGTCCGTGGGCTAGATGTAGAACCTACGTTTTTGGCCCTTCTTCGTAGGCTTCAGAATGACGCGTAAAGCTGCTGGCGAAGAAGTATTCATAATTTCTCGACTAAATAAAAAAATACACTCATAGATATAGAGGTTAACCGTAAATGACTTATACTCGCATAGTGGTTAACATACCCAATATGTACCCAGAAATCACTGAAAGTTAATGATCAACGAAGAATTTGCGAAATACTGTACTGTAATTCGTGAAACAAAAATAGAGAATAATGCGAAGTCCAGTCGGTGACTCATCACTAGGCATTTAGCACTGATGTCTTTAGGTTCAGGGCCAGAATGAAAATTAAGACCCATGTTTTTTCAAAGGACGTTTCATGTGCATGCGGCTGTTCTAATTCTCTGATGCTAAAAAAAGCACACACACATAATTCATAATTGATTAAATAACAGGCAATTCTTCTTTGTGCGCAAAAATTGGTTTCCTGACCTGAAACGAATACAGGTAGTATTACTTTATTTCGCACGTGAATATGATTTTTACGTTATATTCCAGGTGATGACCCGACCGATGTACAACGTTCTTTGCGACTTGTACTCAAAAATTGGTTTCCTGACCTGAAACGAATACAGGTAGTATTACTTTATTTCGCACGTGAATATGATTTTTACGTTATATTCCAGGTGATGACCCGACCGATGTACAACGTTCTTTGCGACTTGTACCAACTGAGATCCCTCAGTGCCACTGTGACTTGGATGGATTTGGAAACAGTAACAGACACTGTTTGTAAAGATCATCTATTTAGAAAAATTGTGATGCTTCGCAAACTTGACCTAATGTGCTTCAGACAATGTTCCCGACGTTTTCCGGGTCCCTCCGTGAAATATATGAGGTAAAGGTTATAGACACTGTTTGTAAAGATCATCTATTTAGAAAAATTGTGATGCTTCGCAAACTTGACCTAATGTGCTTCAGACAATGTTCCCGACGTTTTCCGGGTCCCTCCGTGAAATATATGAGGTAAAGGTTATTATACTCCTTGACGTGAGTTCATCGGAAATTCTAGGTTTCATGCGATCACCAAGACATTGCAACTGTATTTTGTAGACATTTTTTCCTCTTTTTGGACAGTCGATAGCAGTATGTTTTATTCACAAAATTTATATACTATCATTTTGGTTTAAAATCTCATTTATGTCATTTTTAAAAACAGAAAACTGAAACTTTCAGCGACGACGTTTTTTATTCCCCATTTATTTTTATTTTATAGCGCATATTTTTTATAAACTCAATTATGGCCAGTGCTGAATATTGCCGATTTTTCTATGATGACTGCTCGAGGAATATGAACATCTGATGAACTTGGACTCATTATGAACGCGTCAAAATGAGCAAACTTTTTTTCAAGAATTCCTAATTCGTATTGAGGAAACATTTAAGCATGTAATTTCGCATGCCCCCTGCTCAAGTAAGATTGGAAGTACATTAGCACAGTTTTCAACTTCATTTCCTTATACAAGTGGATGGCTTTTTCCCCCATCAACGAAGTTACGCATATCAAGCAGGATTTATCTGACCGCAATAATAATTAGTTGATGACGTGCAAGAATTATTAAAAAAAAAACTCTTAATTAGTTATTAAAATGCTAAGTGAAGTGCTGAGGAAATGAAGTGTTGCTGGGCGTTAATATTGTTTTTTTTTTGCAGGCAACTGACTATTCCAAAAGAGGGGACCATGTGCGGCCTGTCGGCATTGCTCAACACCAAAGACGTCGAGTGGGTTTTCAACTGCGACCACCTGACGTACCTGGACTTGGAAGTGACCAACAACAACTTGCTCAAGCCGTCAGCAGCCGAATTGTGGAACAATTTTAAGTGGTTGACACACGTGAAGATCATGTCGAAACGGGCCTCCGGAGTCCCGCCACTCAAAAAAGTCGAAACCCTGACGCACCTGTTGCATGACGTCAACATTACTGAACCCGACTGGAACAAGTGGTACAGGGAAAACATGCCGGATTCATTGCGGTTCGGGGCCTTTTTCAGAGTGAAGCAGCTGCAGAGGGACATGTTCACGGTTATCGCGGAAACCACGCCGATTTTGAAGAATTTGTACGTGGGATATGAGGAGAATAACGAGGACGCCATGATTTGTCCGGGTGCTATTCCCTACCAACTCCGGTGGGTATTGTATTATACAGTACCATAATTTAGTGAAGTTTTAAAAACGAAAATAAAGACGGTGATCAAATGAGACCTGAGTGTCACCTATATATGACCTGGGGAGTTGTTGAGTTTTGGAGGTTTGAGTTACAGAACCTAGCATTTTTGTTGTGTGGGAAACATTGAAGAATTGCGCAAAATTGTAAATGGTGATATTCTGGGCCTTAAATTGCTTCATAAATGAGTTGACAGGATGTTGAACTAATTGGAGGCAGAGGTTCATTATTTTCTCAATTTAGTCTTTCACCTTGTTGAAAAAACCCGAAATTTGGGTTTTTATTGCTCTTTCCCTGTGTCAAGGAAATAATAGCCCTATAAGATCTCAGAAAATTCGTTTTCGGAGGTTTGAGAGGAAAGCCCTTGAGTTNCAAAAATTGGTTTCCTGACCTGAAACGAATACAGGTAGTATTACTTTATTTCGCACGTGAATATGATTTTTACGTTATATTCCAGGTGATGACCCGACCGATGTACAACGTTCTTTGCGACTTGTACCAACTGAGATCCCTCAGTGCCACTGTGACTTGGATGGATTTGGAAACAGTAACAGACACTGTTTGTAAAGATCATCTATTTAGAAAAATTGTGATGCTTCGCAAACTTGACCTAATGTGCTTCAGACAATGTTCCCGACGTTTTCCGGGTCCCTCCGTGAAATATATGAGGTAAAGGTTACTCCTTGACGTGAATTCATCGGAAATTCTAGGTTTCATGCGATCACCAAGACATTGCCACTGTATTTTGTAGACATTTTTTCCTCTTTTTGGACAGTCGATAGCAGTATGTTTTATTCATAAAATTTATATTCTACATTTTGGTTTAAAATCTAATTTATGTAATTTTTAAAAACAGAAAACTGAAACTTTCAGCGACGACGTTTTCCATTCCCCATTTATTTTTATTTTATATCGCATATTTTTTATGAACTCAATTATGGCAAGTGCTGAATATTGCCGATTTTGCTATGATGACTCCTCGAGGAATATGAACATCTGATGAACTTGGACTCATTATGAACGCGTCAAAATGAGCAAACTTTTTTTTTTCAAGAATATCCTAATTCGAATCTAGGAAACATCTAAGTATGTACAGTAATTTTTCAAGTACTGTAATTTCGCATGTCCCCTGCTCAATCAAGATTGGAAGTATATTAGCACAGTTTTCAAATTCATTTCCTTATACAAGTGGATGGCTTTTTCCCCCATCAACGAAGTTACGCATATCAGGCAGTATTTCATCTGACCGCGATAATAATTAGTTGATGACGTGCAAGAATTATTTTTAAAAAACTCTTAATTATTAGTTATTAAAATGCTAAGTGAAGTGCTGAGGAAATAAAGTGTTGCTGGGCGTTAATATTGTTTTTTTTTTTTTGCAGGCAATTGACTATTCCAAAAGAGGGGACCATGTGCGGCCTGTCGGCATTACTCAACACCAAAGACGTCGAGTGGGTTTTCAACTGCGACCACCTGACGTACCTGGACTTGGAAGTGACCAACAACGACTTGCTCAAGCCGTCAGCAGCCGAATTGTGGAACAATTTCTTCACCAACTGTGTGCACTTCTAGTACAGCTTTGCCCGGAGGCCTCAGGGCGGTGAGTTTTTTCAGCTTTGGGACTGCGTGGACAACGTACTGCAGTTGTAATGACTTGGGCTGACCTTGTTCACCAACAGGGAAAACATGCCGGATTCATTGCGGTTCGGGGCCTTTTTCAGAGTGAAGCAGCTGCAGAGGGACATGTTCACGGTTATCGCGGAAACCACGCCGATTTTGAAGAATTTGTACGTGGGATATGAGGAGAATAACGAGGACGCCATGATTTGTCCGGGTGCTATTCCCTACCAACTCCGGTGGGTATTGTATTATACAGTACCATAATTTAGTGAAGTTTTAAAAACGAAAATAAAGACGGTGATCAAATGAGACCTGAGTGTCACCTATATATGACCTGGGGAGTTGTTGAGTTTTGGAGGTTTGAGTTACAGAACCTAGCATTTTTGTTGTGTGGGAAACATTGAAGAATTGCGCAAAATTGTAAATGGTGATATTCTGGGCCTTAAATTGCTTCATAAATGAGTTGACAGGATGTTGAACTAATTGGAGGCAGAGGTTCATTATTTTCTCAATTTAGTCTTTCACCTTGTTGAAAAAACCCGAAATTTGGGTTTTTATTGCTCTTTCCCTGTGTCAAGGAAATAATAGCCCTATAAGATCTCAGAAAATTCGTTTTCGGAGGTTTGAGAGGAAAGCCCTTGAGTTTGGGAGTTTTTAAAGCATTTTTAAGGGAATTCAGATAGGGAATCGGAAAACAAAATTTGACTCAGAAAGGCATTTGACTTGACGTTCAACTGTACTTTGGGATTATCAAACTTAATCCATCAGAGGTCAGAAATAAAAAAAAAGAAAACACTCATAAAGTGTTTCTTACATCCCAGGCTTTGGCATTATGCAGTATTTGTTTATAGATTATCATGGCATTTTTAGATTTCCATCAACCCGATAATTATTTTAATAATTATATTGCTGTGTTCTTTTTCAATTTTATTTATAGATATGTCATGATGCTGAAAGGAAACAATTTGGAGAGCAAAAACGACCACCATGCTCTGGGAGCGTTGTACATGAAAAAGAAGTTTGACTCGATGATTTTCAAACTCGACTCCTTCGAACGTCCCAGAAACAGCAGAATGCCAGTCGTTTGGAGGGATTTCATGCATCGTTTGCACATGATGAGAACACATCCAGTGATCTTAGACTGGCGCATACCTGTCTTAAGGGACGCTATGTTTGAATTTATCAATTGCAACGACGTCACGCCTGATATGAAAGTTGAATCACTGGACGAAGAAGAGGATGATGATGAGGAAGGCTTGGAAGAAGACGGAGACGAGGTAATCGTACCTGCTTGAAAACTATTTTGCTTATTGTTATGTTTGTACTTCATCAATATTATTATTATAAGTCCTGGGAGTTTTCCATTATTTTTCCCCATGCAAGCATGGTATCGAAAGTCATTTCGAGACATTCACATATTCTATCGTTCTTATTATCACCGGGAAAAAAAATATTTGTGGAGTCCGCCAAGGATGCGAATGAAGGCATGTAAACAATCAACTAGGAAAATTAACATCATGGGAAAAATTTTACTTTAACAAAATGAGCAGTCCGTTCTTCTGCGTGTACGTATGCTGAGTTGCTGACCGGAATCAGACATTTCCCAGATGGAACAGTAAAATTTTAAAATTGTGGTGTTAAATTAGCCAGACCTCCTGAAGCTAAATTGAATTCATGTACTGTATCTCTGAATGATGAGCTCATAATACCAATAACGTCTACTTTTTACATTTCTGTGCTAAATCCAATTACAGTGCTTATGAGAGGGTAAAACAACAATAAATTAAATACTGCATCACAGTTCGTGGTGTTCGAAAAATAAAAATATTTTTCAAACACATTATTTACAATTTTTTCAGACTATTAGAGTATTTCGATTACCGCGTTTCCTCGAGTGAGCCACGCACCTCAGTTTCTTGTTTGTTTGAAATTTGACAAAAAATTTACCCTTGCCCAAAACTCGCGCCGCAGTTTTACTTGGTTAAAAATCGAAATAGCTTTTAAAAAGTATTGTATTGAAACAAAATAAAGATGATGACAAAGAAAAATTCAATTGGATTTGTGTCAAGTAGAACTCAATGCTCGTCATTTGAACCTAATACGTAGTGTCACTCGTCATGGCTCACACTACCAAGTTCATAATTATTTGGTTTAAAATAAGTATTCTCCGACATACACCACTTCCACCTTACTTTTCTGCCTCGATTTTGCAAAAAAAAAAAGATGCGCGCGTTATTTGAGTAAATACAGTAAATCCTTTTTTTCTAATTAATTTCAGGGAAGTGGTTCGGAGGCTTATGGCGACGCTTTGGCACAAGGACCTGACATAAGCAATTACGGTGGTGATACTGCGGAACAGACAGATGCTGGGGAAGCAAGTGATGGTGGCCTTGATGCTGCTGAAGAACCAGCTGAAGATGCCCCTGACGAAGCAGCAGCAGCAGCAGCTGATCCTGATGGCACAGAGGCAGACACCGAAGGCTGAATATCTCAACTTCAGTGTACTTTAATTGAATTGTTCTTCTTTAATAAGAAAATAATAAATGTGATACAGCTTTTGTTCCTCTTTTGGTTCCAACTGAGTATTTCCAGGAAGCCTTTCTCCGTCTATGTATGAGTATTTCGATTACCGCGTTTCCTCGAGTGAGCCACGCACCTCAGTTTCTTGTTTGTTTGAAATTTGACAAAAAATTTACCCTTGCCCAAAACTCGCGCCGCAGTTTTACTTGGTTAAAAATCGAACTAGCTTTTAAAAATTATTGTATTTTAACAAAATAAAGATGATGATAAAGAAAAATTCAATTCGATTTGTGTCAATTAGAACTCAATGCTCATCATTTGAACCTACGAAGTGTCACTCATCGTCATGGCTCACACTACAAAGTTCATAATTATTTGCTTAAAAATAGGTATTCTCCGACATACTGTATACCACTTCCACCTTACCTTACTGCCTCGATTTTGCAAAAAAAAGATGCGCGCGTTATTTGAGTAAATACAGTAAATCCTTTTTTTCTAATTAATTTCAGGGAAGTGGTTCGGAGGCTTATGGCGACGCTTTGGCACAAGGACCTGACATTAGCAATTACGGTGGTGATACTGCGGAACAGACAGATGCTGGGGAAGCAAGTGATGCTGGTGGCCTTGATGCTGCTGAAGAACCAGCTGAAGATGCCCCTGACGAAGCAGCAGCAGCAGCAGCTGATCCTGATGGCACAGAGGCAGACACCGAAGGCTGAATATCTCAACTTCAGTGTACTTTAATTGAATTGTTCTTCTTTAATAAGAAAATAATAAATGTGATACAGCTTTTGTTCCTCTTTTGGTTCCAACTGAGTATTTCCAGGAAGCCTTTCTCCGTCTATGTATACTCGTATGGACTGCGTCTTTCGCTAATGAAACATGAGAAGCCAATTTTAAACTCATTTGAAGAATAATTGTTCTGTTCGAAACATGGCTGTTGAATACATGAGGCACTCATGTCCCTGGAGAATGAAAAAAATTGTGTATTAGCTTCTGTCCATCACCAAAGGTCGAACAAACTAGATGAGAGTGTCGCTCAGGTCAAGTTATTTTAATTATCTTACCAGCATATTTCGAACAGCTTAGGACTGATATAATGCGGGACACATTGCTTGAAGAGCATTGACAGGTTCATATAGCCAATATCTCGATATTTCGAAAAGGTGACTTTGTATTTATGCTACATATGTTTCAGTTTCAAAATTCATGGATTTCAAATAATATTGTACTGTAATGTTAATATTGGGGTCTGATTTGAAATGGATGTTGCAACCAACGTTGTGCATTGGTCGGTTTACCGATCTTACCGTACAATTCAATTGAATGGCTTAAGAAATTACTGTATTTACACCTTGGCACATGTCGAGGTTCACACAACATACATCCGAAATGGTGAGATCAACTCAGTCATTGTTTAGAAAGGTACGTAGGAGTTTTTATTTTTCTCTCGTAGATGTCGCTGCAGGTCATGAATGCCATATGTCATTTACAGTACTTCAGGTGTCCTACTAAATGAACCATCAGCGCCAGCTTTTATGAACAACTAAATCTGGTTTTCTCTGTGAGGACACAAATATCTTCTGAATGAAAGTCGATGAGTGGTTTGTTCGAAAATTGTATTTCTCCCGACGCATTTTTTTGGACACGCGAAAAATGATATATTTTGTTCAGTTTACGCATCCCTTTCAACAAAACGTTCTAAAAAATAGGACACACCTTTGGTGGTCACTCTCTGGATGAAGTAACCACCCCAACCTCAGCAGCATGTCTCTTGAAACATTCAAACGAATCCATCGAAGGCTCGAACTTAAAAAAAACAAAATCAAACAGCGAAAACTGCTCATCAAGCTCAATACAGGGAACCGAAATTACACGAATAAGTATTTCAGGGACAATTAAACGCTGAAACAAAAATAAGAGAAATGTTGCCCCATTTTAGTCAACATTCGTAAATCGGGGGTTTAATGGCCAAGGAAAGCCAGAATTTCTTTTCAGGAGATGATTTATTCTTTCAGGAGACTTTTTTCGGGCAAATTTTTTCAAGGAAATTTGTTCATTCACTATCCATTCGAAGAAATTACCAGCTCAAAACATATTATGTTTCGAACGATTTTAGTAGAACATTTTGGGTACAGCCCAGCTACGGTGGGGCCAGAAACAAAATCTATTCCGACAAAGTCTTGACTTTCATCCTAAACGCAAAAGAAATCATCATCCCCCGAAGAGCAAAGTCAGCGAGGAAAAAAAAAATTAGCAACTGAACAATTTAGGCTTTATCCTCCGCATCAGTCGCGGATCGTTTCGCACTTTCAACAGCACGACTCTGTCGCGACATCGTGCTGCTGTCGAGAGGAAGGACACGGAGGTGGTGGTGGCACTTTGACGTCAGTTGCTGCTGGAACTGACATGGCACCGTCGACATTTACAGAACGGATGTCGATGACGACTCGAGCGCCCGACTCGCGCAGTCGATGCACGCCGCTGATGAGCGCCTTCGTCCTCTGCGGGCTTCGGACTTTCGAGTTGAACTCGCCATCCACAAAAATCTGAAAATTCAAAAAATTTTTCAAATAAAATCGGACACTATGAATCAAAAATCAAGGGACCCGTAAAAATGCGTTGTCGAGAGAATTTCGCCGTAGAGAACCCCTCTAACATCAGGAGAGAACTTTAGGGGTAGAGGGCCGAAAAAAAAGTCGTTTATAATGTACAGAGAATAAGTCATTTTAGAAAAAATCCCTGAAGAGAGAGTCCACATTTAATGTTTTTAATTAAAATGTTTAATCGTCAAGTTTCTTCGAAATTTTTTTTGACTATTTGTTAGTTAAAACTCTAGTTTTTTTTTTAAATCCCAGCACGAATTAAACACAACTTCACGGAGTTCGGCATGAGGTTAAGATCGATACCTTACTTCATATTTCCATAAACCGTTATAATCGTCGAGCAAGTTTAAATTCGACCTTTTTCATAAATTAATCAGAGCAAGGTTTTGGAGGACGCACATCAATTAATTCCAGAAAAAAGAAAAAAAGCGTCTCGCTGGGAGTTGCAGCTGAGAAGAATCGTACAAAAATTACAAGTTACATATTTTTCATCAGTCCATCAAAGAAAGGTGCATGAGAGAAATGTTTGCTCTAGACCGAAAAAGGTTTTTAAAATCCGAGTTATTTTCAACTTGATGGCTGATGTACTTGCATCCTTGGTTTTCTTGGTCTTTGAATAGGTATTCCTAAAAATTTCATGCGTTGTGCTGCCATGCTCAATTAAAATATTGCCATTCTTTAAATTAGTTCCAGTATAACAAGCCTACTTTCGATCAGGTTAAAAATTCCGTCGACATCTGTCGGACAAAAAAGTACTGGAGTCGCTCTTGAAAAGAATCGTCGAACAAGTTAAAATTCGACCTTTTTAAAAAATTAATCAGCGCAAGTTTTTGAAGGACGCACATAAATTAATTGCAGAAATAAAAGAAAAAGAAGCGTCTTGCTGGGATTCGCAGTTGAGAATAATCGTCGAACAGTTCGAAATTACATTTCTCATCAAATTCATCGAAGAAATGTTTCAAGAGACGCGCAGAAATTAATCCTCGATAGAAAAAAAAGAACTCCTTGTTAACGTGACTAAGAAGAAAAAGAAGCGTTGCACAAGTGTCGCATCAGCATAATATTACCTTGTATCCGGAAACCCGGACATCATGTGGTGGTTCCCAAGCCAAAAGAATTCCATCTTCGCCCACAATTCTGGTCACGCAGAAGTTCTGCGGTGGAAGCAGCTGATCGCTCTTCGCAGGTAACGAAGAGCTCATCTTTTTATTCACCTTTTTAAAACGCAAAATACGCAATGAATTAAAGTTTCATCACCGTTATGAAAATCATCAGTCCACACATTTTTTTTTCCATTTTCAACCGAGCCGTCCATGATTTGCGTGACAAATGACAGCTGTATTACCTGGAATACCGTAATTAACTACATGCAAATGCATGTCTTTTTTATCACGTTTCTTAGAAAATGCAGGATGAATTTCAGGCCACGATTGCTTTTCCTATTCACGATTGTGTTCACAAGCATTGCTTAAGTTGTGAGCATGTCCTTGCGGCATTTTAAGAAAAAATTAATATATTCAATTATTTATTTCAGGAGTTTCACGAGGGACATGCAACAGTCTCCCCATTTCATGCAGCTTTCGGGCAATTGATGGAAGACTTTTCGGGGTCTGGAATAAATTAACAATTTTTTAAGGCTATCAATTGCTTGATTAATAATACATTTTGGATGATGGGCTTCTGGTTGAAACGGACGGATCCGATCAACTGGGGCTTTAGCTTCGTTGAACTTCGTGGAAGGATCGAGTAAAATCCAGATAGAATCCTGCATATTTTGGGTTTGATTAATTTTTTTTACTGCATTTTGATTGTTTATATAGGAGCTTATGTACATATTTTAAGGGCGCAGAGTTCCTTCATTTGATTTGTATTTTTCAACAGGAAATTTTAAAGCAGAAAGCTTGAAGAAAAGTGAAAGAAAAAACTCTGAAAAAATTATAAGGTATTCAAGATCCCATCTGGGGAGGTGTTTATCTTTGCCTACTGTATTCGCAAAGGTGGTGAGAGGAGGTAACTTAAATTTTGCTCAAGTTAAACCAGATTCTGGGATGGAAGGCTATCCAGATAATGTTACGAGACTTTAGAAAAGTATCTGGTCTGAGGGCTTCTTGTAGATTTTCATCATAGACCCACTAATCGTTCAAAAACTACCGTATGAAAAAAAATATTGGCGAAGAGTTGGTATAGATTGAAGAAGGTACTAGTGATAGGCTTTTAAGGGGGAAAAGTAATAAAAATTATATTTTTTTTTAGCTTTTTTATTCCGAAGTATTCGAGGCAGTGGTGTCATTGGGTAGACCTCACGCAAGCCCAGGTTGTCCTCAAAAATCAAGATATGCAAATCAGGGCCTCGAAAAATGATCAGCATTAAGTATTCGAACGCACAGTGATCACCAACCCGTAGCTGGACCGCGGAAAATTTTCTTCAGACTAATGAATTTATCAAAAGTAGAAACAAAGTCTGTTTTCTTTGCCTAAAATTTTTGTTAAGACAACGGCAGTTGAATTTGTCTAAAGAAAAAAGTTGGTTTTTCTCCTAATAACCTTTTAGACACATTTTCACCTGCTGAATTTAATTATGATTTTTTTTTTTATCCTGAGACACCTTTCAAGCCCACCTTTTTAATTTTTCAAAGATATTCCACTATAGCTGCTTCATTGGTTCTCAACTTCATTGTTGCAAAAAAGCAGACGTTTTTTTAAATAGCTGGCATGAAGTCAGTCTTTAAAACAAACAATTTTTGCATCTACAACACTTTTATGAAACTTTGCCGCGAAAAAGTTTATGGAAATTTGGCGGTACGCCGGACTGGAAAAGGTTGGGGAAACTTGTAATCACTGTAAATACCTTTTCGGAAGCACTGCGGTGAAGCTTGAAGTTTCCTTTGCCTTCGTCGGCGTTGCATTTAATCACGGTTTGAAGCTCATCTTCGAGCGAGTCTGGTCCGCTGCCACTGCCCGACGACGACGAGCAGGTGTAGGAAGACGAGGAACACGAAAAAGGGGTTGCAGCAGATGTCGATCGCCAGCGATTACTAGTTTTACCACCGACATCGACGCCACACCGCTGTGAAGTCGACGTCGACAGCTGACGGCGACACGGAGACAAGGACTGGTCCGTCGGCTTGATCGTCACAGAATGGCTTCTTTTCAGCGAATTCACCGGAGTTGCCGGTTTCGGAATCTGAAATTGAAAATACAATACAGCGATTATGGATCAACACCTTTTGTCAACATAAACGCAGTGTCAAAAAAGTGTCACCATACTTGCTTCGACACACGAAAAATACGCTCATCGAAAAAAAATTAGCTTAGAAATGATTTCGCACGCATTGGTCAAATAACTGTTTCTGACCAAGGCAATACAGGTGAAACTCCCTAAGTCGAATACCTATCCCTAACTCGAATTTTTTTCAAGTCCCTGTCTGGATTCCCATAGAAACAATGTATTAAAAACCTCCCCAACTCAAAGTAGTTTTCTCTCAAACCTCTGTAAGTCGAATTTTCTGAGGCCTTTTGGTCATTATTTCCTTGAAATATGATTGAGAAAATCAACAAAACAAATTATTTTAAGCATTTTGAAATCAAGTGAAGGACTAATTGAACAAATGAACCCCTGCCCACAAGTTCAATAAGCTGTAAACTCATTAAGAAGCAAATTTAGGCCTGGAATGTGCTCATCTACTTCCCCATTTTCCTTGCAGCAAAAATATTTGTTTCCTTTCCTAAAAAAATCAAAACCTCCCTAAGTCGAAACCTCCCTAAGCCGAATTTTTTTTCTGGTCCCTAGAAATTCGACTTGGAGAGGTTCACCTGTATTTTCAAAACAGAGGCCTCAAATTAAATCAAGTAAAACTTCTTCTATCGCTTTCAGTGCAAAGGAAATGGAATTTGAAAACCCGATTTTCACAGGAATGACCTTGAAAATATTAAGCTGCTGATCATGCAACCGACTTCTGAGTCATGCCAAATCTCAGACAGAAAAAAATAAAATA